TGGCCTCTCTCTGGTCTCTCTCTGGCCTCTCTCTGGTCTCTCTCTGGCCTCTCTCTGGTCTCTCTCTGGTCTCTCTCTGGCCTCTCTCTGGCCTCTCTCTGGTCTCTCTCTGGCCTCTCTCTGGTCTCTCTCTGGTCTCTCTCTGGCCTCTCTCTGGCCTCTCTCTGGTCTCTCTGACCTCTCTCTGGTCTCACTGTTGATTTGGGAGCATTTAATTACCGCCTGTCTGTCTGTAAGGGCGGATCCGTCTCTCAACATGTTCCTCCCTGAAGATTCTCACTTTCACACATTTCTTCTGTTCAAACAGTTTGATTCTCTGATCTGTTGCTGGTGAATCCACAACTTTGACTTTTGACATTTACGAGGTAACGGTTGAAGGAAGTGGTTGTGAAGAGCACTTGGTTTGTGGCGTCGGGCTTAATGTTTAACGTGTGTTTGAGGAAGTATCGGCTGTTTCTGTTGTGCATCAGCAGAGTGGTTAACCTCCCACACCCAACAACAGTTTAAGGAGGAGTGTTATTATGTGTCGTGACTCCATTGTGTGAATGTGTAAGACATGCTTTGCTAAAATGGTCACGTGTTTTATCTGAATGATATTTTAATCTTTTTTCATTTACATCACAATGTGCCGCAGACTCAATATACAGATTATGCAATATATCATTCACTTGTTGTACCATAGTTCAAGGTCCTAAAAAGTCTCAATTCAATATGCTTTTATACAGCCATAAATAACAACAGCAGTCAGGACACGTTGGACTTAAGCGAGTTGTGGATTCACCAACAACAGATCAGAGAATCAAATAGAACACAGGAAATGCAATGATAACAAACACATATAGAGCCGTAGGTCCATAGGAAGTGAGATTACTGAGGCTGTAGATCTAGGACTGAGGCTGTAGACCCAGGACTGAGGCTGTAGACCCAGGACTGAGGCTGTAGATCCAAGACTTAAGAAACTCCCCACCTGTAAATCATTACTGGTACATTTAAGTTAGAAATTCCTTTTATATACTTTGAGATAATGTTCATATTTGTGTGACTTCTCCGTGTCGCAACAGACACAGACCCATGGACTGCATACAAATGGACAATGCTAACCCGCTATGCTAGACATTGATTATGTACAGGAAAACTGCTACGAAATTCCCTTCAGTAGCAATAATTAAACCTCATGAAACACATTAACGCCTTCATTGTCAATAGCCCCCTCCCCATGGGTCCAAGATCTCCAGGGGCCAGAACAAAACAGGATTTGGGGGCTAGCCAAAACAGCACATTGATTGAATGAAGTGCACATGATCACTTTGACCCAGTGATCCAATAACAGGAGTCTGCTGATCCTCATCTCCAGCAGCTGTTTTGTCTTTCGCACATTTAGTCGAGTCTGAGATGCAATTAGCAGCTCTCAAAAGGTTAAACGGGTCTGAAGAGGCGCCGATGCTAATGGGGTTTGGTGCTGATGAATTGAGGACCTCTGGGTGTGAGGCGGCAGGGGGCAGATACCAGGGAGCCCCAGGCCGAGGTAATACTCTGGGCCTTTGTGGTTCAGTCAATAGACAAGGACAAGGGGGCATCAGTGTTTATGGCTCCTCTTTGAACTGGGACAAAGACCTGTGGGGAATCTTCACCCAATAGTTATAAACACACACACACACAAACTAGTGCAAAAAAGTGGTTAGGAGATGAGCTAGTATCTGAGTGAGAGAGACTGAAGAGAGGCCAGAGAGAGAGAGGCCAGAGAGAGAGAGGCCAGAGAGAGCGAGGCCAGAGAGAGAGAGGCCAGAGAGAGAGAGGCCAGAGAGAGAGGGGCCAGAGAGAGAGAGGCCAGAGAGAGAGAGGCCAGAGAGAGAGAGGCCAGAGAGAGAGAGACCAGAGAGAGAGAGGCCAGAGAGAGAGAGGCCAGAGAGAGAGAGGCCAGAGAGAGAGAGGCCAGAGAGAGAGAGGCCAGAGAGAGAGAGGCCAGAGAGAGAGAGGCCAGAGAGAGAGAGGCCAGAGAGAGAGAGGCCAGAGAGAGAGAGGCCAGAGAGAGAGAGGCCAGAGAGAGAGAGGCCAGAGAGAGAGAGGCCAGAGAGAGAGAGGCCAGAGAGAGAGAGGCCAGAGAGAGAGAGGCCAGAGAGAGAGAGAGGCCAGAGAGAGAGAGGCCAGAGAGAGAGAGGCCAGAGAGAGAGAGGCCAGAGAGAGAGAGGCCAGAGAGAGAGAGGCCAGAGAGAGAGAGGCCAGAGAGAGTGAGAGGCCAGAGAGCGAGAGGCCAGAGAGCGAGAGGCCAGAGAGCGAGAGGCCAGAGAGCGAGAGGCCAGAGAGCGAGAGGCCAGAGAGCGAGAGGCCAGAGAGAGAGAGGCCAGAGAGAGAGAGGCCAGAGAGAGAGAGGCCAGAGAGAGAGGGGCCAGAGAGAGAGGGGCCAGAGAGAGAGAGGCCAGAGAGAGAGAGGCCAGAGAGAGAGAGGCCAGAGAGAGAGAGGCCAGAGAGAGAGAGGCCAGAGAGAGAGAGGCCAGAGAGAGAGAGGCCAGAGAGAGAGAGGCCAGAGAGAGAGAGGCCAGAGAGAGAGAGGCCAGAGAGAGAGAGGCCAGAGAGAGAGAGGCCAGAGAGAGAGAGGCCAGAGAGAGAGAGGCCAGAGAGAGAGAGGCCAGAGAGAGAGAGGCCAGAGAGAGAGAGGCCAGAGAGAGAGAGGCCAGAGAGAGAGAGGCCAGAGAGAGAGAGACCAAAGAGAGACCCGACTTTGTTACTATAGAAATCCTACCTACAGTCCCTTTTAAGTCTGTGTTTGAATAGAATGTGCCGGACTGTCTCTGGTTGTTGTTGACAGAGTGAAGGCTGCTCTGAGCCACGTCCTGGTCCCGCTGAGTCTGGGTTTACACAGGTGCTGCGTGTTGTGTCAGGCTGCCTAAATCTGGCTCCCCTTTAAAGCCACGCTGTCATTGTTTACCACCGACGCTAAAACAAATGCTACGCAGCCGACTGTCATTGTCCTAGATTCTGTAAAAGTTCACACTCAAAGCAACTCAAAGTCATAAATGATTTTGTTTACTTTTCAATGTAAGTCAATAACAACCAGAGCCAGTTGGAGCCAAACCTCTTCCATGAGCACTTCCCTATCGGACAATGCTAACCCGCTAGGCTAGTCCATCTGTATACAGGCTGTGATGCTGACATGTTGATGCAGTGTGTGCTCTTAATAAAAGGTAAAATAAAAACACCGTAACCTAGTTCTGGGGAGAAATCCAGTGAGCTTTAATTAGAGCTGGACCTGGACTTGTTGGAAACGGTGAGACGCAGGAGCTGATGGATCACGCAACACAAACCCTTCGGGATGAAAACCGTCCTCCTCACAAATATAGAAACCAGTTCACCACAGAAAAGTAAAGCTGGGGTCCCTGACTTTCAAATCACAAGGAAATTAAACTAAACGTTTGTTTTATTTTTAGATAGATGTCTATTGTTGGCCTGCTACTACTACTACTGCTATTATCACTGCTGCTGCTACTGCTACTACTACTACTGCTATTATCACTGCTGCTACTACTGCTACTACTACTACTGCTATTATCACTGCTGCTACTACTGCTACTACTACTGCTATTATTACTGCTGCTACTACTGCTACTACTACTGCTATTATCACTGCTGCTACTACTACTGCTGCTACTACTACTACTACTACTACTAATACTGCTGCTTCTACTGCTGCTGCTACTACTACTACTGCTAACAATGAGTCCAAACCAAGAGTGACCAATTTATGGACCAAAAACTGCAATGTTTTGTGACATCTTCTCTATTGCTCTAACCCTCTCGCTGATTTCTCTCTGTCTCTTTTGCTGGTCTCTCTCGCTGGTCTCTCACTGTCTCTTTTGCTGGTCTCTCTCGCTGGTCTCTCACTGTCTCTTTTGCTGGTCTCTCTCTCTGATATCTGTCTCTTTTGCTGGTCTCTCTCTCTGATCTGTCTCTTTTGCTGGTCTCTCTCTCTGATCTCTGTCTCTTTTGCTGGTCTCTCTCTCTCACTGTCTCTCTTGTGGTCTCTCTGGGCTCTCATCTTCTCTGGAGACGCTCATGCACCTGTGCGACTCTCGCGCAGCTATGATAGTTCACTTTTCTTCCATCAGGACGACGTTATGTTGCAGCATATTCTAAAATTGTCAGTTTAAATGTTTTGGCCCAACCGCTATCGTCCTGAACGCTCTGTAGCTGTTGGTGACGTGGACTTTGGTGTTTGAGCTTTTATAGTTGTATTATGTTCATATGTTTGTATGGGCTCCACTTCATATATTTCTTGTGTTTTGATGTGTTTTTTTACGCCTTGTGCTGCTTAAACAAATTGCCCTTGGTGGAATAAATAAAGTAGTCTGAATATGAATCTCCCTCTCTAACCCTCTCTCCTCTACTCAGGATGTGTGAGGCCTCCTTCTCTCCCTCTCTCCTCTACTCAGGATGTGTGAGGCCTCCTTCTCTCCCTCTCTAACCCTCTCTCCTCTACTCAGGATGTGTGAGGCCTCCTTCTCTCCCTCTCTCCTCTACTCAGGATGTGTGAGGCCTCCTTCTCTCCCTCTCTCCTCTACTCAGGATGTGTTAGGCCTCCTTCTCTCCCTCTCTCCTCTACTCAGGATGTGTGAGGCCTCCTTCTCTCCCTCTCTCCTCTACTCAGGATGTGTGAGGCCTCTTTCTCTCCCTCTCTCCTCTACTCAGGATGTGTTAGGCCTCCTTCTCTCCCTCTCTCCTCTACTCAGGATGTGTGAGGCCTCCTTCTCTCCCTCTCTCCTCTACTCAGGATGTGTTAGGCCGCCTTCTCTCCCTCTCTCCTCTACTCAGGATGTGTTAGGCCTCCTTCTCTCCCTCTCTCCTCTACTCAGGATGTGTGAGGCCTCCTTCTCTCCCTCTCTCCTCTACTCAGGATGTGTTAGGCCTCCTTCTCTCCCTCTCTAACCCTCTCTCCTCTACTCAGGATGTGTGAGGCCTCCTTCTCTCCCTCTCTAACCCTCTCTCATCTCTTTTCCTCTGCTCAGGATGTGCGAGGCCCCCTGGAGTGCAGCATGGAGACCTGAACCAGACTGAGGCGAACCGTGGGTCGTTCCCCGCTGGGACTCTGCTCTCCTACAGCTGTGACCCCGGCTTCAGCGCAGACGGCGCCGTTAGCATCATCTGCACCAGCCTCGGCACCTGGTCCCACCCTCCGCCACGCTGCGTCCGCAACAACGGTAACTCACACACACCGGCTTTACCCAGCTCTAGAAGTGTTTTATCTGGTCATTGCCGTCTGAGGTTTCTGTTCCTCTATGATGTCTGCTTGTTGTGACTCTATGATGTCTGCTTGTTGTGACTCTATGATGTCTGCTTGTTGTGACTCTGAGGTCTGCTTGTTGTGACTCTGAGGTCTGCTTGTTGTGACTCTATGATGTCTGCTTGTTGTGACTTTGAGGTCTGCTTGTTGTGACTCTATGACGTCTGCTTGTTGTGACTCTATGATGTTTGCTTGTTGTGACTCTATGACGTCTGCTTGTTGTGACTCTATGACGTCTGCTTGTTGTGACTCTATGACGTCTGCTTGTTGTGACTCTATGACGTCTGCTTGTTGTGACTCTATGATGTCTGCTTGTTGTGACTCTGAGGTCTGCTTGTTGTGACTCTATGACGTCTGCTTGTTGTGACTCTATGATGTTTGCTTGTTGTGACACTATGACGTCTGCTTGTTGTGACTCTATGACGTCTGCTTGTTGTGACTCTATGACGTCTGAAAGTTTTTACACAAAACAGCAAAAAGGGACCAGTATTTATGTAATGAAGGTTATTCACTTTCACTTGTTGATTTCAATCTGACATTTGCAGTTATACAGGCAGAACTGGTCCTGTTGAACACACACACACACACAGACCGTCTCTCTCTGTTCTCTCTCTGTTCTCTCTCTGTTCCCTCTCACTTGTCTCTCACTCTGTTCCCTCCCACTGGTCTCTCTGGTCTCTCTCTCTGTTCTCTCTTTGGTCTCTCTCTAGTCTCACAGTCTCTCTCTGGTTTCTCTGTTCTCTCTTTGGTCTCTCTCTAGTCTCACAGTCTCTCTCTGTTCTCTCTCTGGTCTCTCTCTGATCTCTCTCTCTCTCTCTCTCTCTGGTCCTTCCCTCTGGTCCCTCCCACTGGTCTCTCTCTGGTCTCTCTCTCTGGTTTCTCTCTGGTCCCTCCCACTGGTCTCTCTCTGGTCTCTCTCTCTGGTTTCTCTCTGGTCCCTCCCACTGGTCTCTCTCTGGTCTCTCTCTCTGGTCTCTCTCTGGTCCCTCCCACTGGTCTCTCTCTGGTCTCTTATTTTTAGAACAACCCCACTGACAAACAAAGAATAACTGTAATCTTTCCTTAAACCTCATAATGAATGTCATACTTGGTTCCTCCTCCAGGACCAGACTGTTGCTAGTTGCTAGTTCTGTGATTGTGATGCTGTGTCTCCTCCACAGTGTGTCTGCCTCCCACTGAACCAGAGAACGGAGGGTACCGCTGTCACCCGTCTCCGTGCCACAGACTCACCCACAAAACGGTCATTGAGTATTTCTGTGACGAGGGCTACGCTCTGAAGGGAGACTACAAGTTCCTCACCTGCCAGAACGGGGAGTGGGACGCCCCCATGCAGGTCAGCTGCCGGCTCACACAAGGTACGTGACGCTACGTTATATTATATTTATTTGTGTATCGCTCTAAGTCACAAATGTGTGGATTCACCGACAACAGATCAGAGAATCCAACAGTTCAAACACAGGAAATGCAGTCATAAAAAACGCATAAGAAACATTGGTTCATAGATAGCAGGATGACTGAGGCTGTAGATCCAGGACTGAGGCTGTAGATCCAGGACTGAGGCTGTAGATCCAGGACTGGGGCTGTAGATCCAGGACTGGGGCTGTAGATCCAGGACTGAGGCTGTAGATCAGGACTGAGGCTGTAGATCCAGGACTGAGGCTGTAGATCCAGGACTGAGGCTGTAGATCCAGGACTGAGGCTGTAGACCCAGGACTGAGGCTGTAGATCCAGGACTGAGGCTGTAGACCCAGGACTGAGGCTGTAGACCCAGGACTGAGGCTGTAGACCCAGGACTGAGGCTGTAGACCCAGGACTGAGGCTGTAGACCCAGGACTGAGGCTGTAGATCCAGGACTGAGGCTGTAGACCCAGGACTGGGGCTGTAGATCCAGGACTGAGGCTGTAGACCCAGGACTGAGGCTGTAGATCCGGGACTGAAGCTATGGGACTGAGGCTGTAGACCCGGGACTGGGGCTGTAGATCCGGGACTGAGGCTATGGGACTGAGGCTGTAGATTTGTATTTTAGAGAAGCTAAATACGAATGCCCCGCATGTTTGCAAAAAAGGTCCAATACCTGAGCCACAGCAAGTTCTCTCAACGTGGAGAAGCAGCGGCTCTACTCTGAGCTCCTCCCCTCTCTAAAGGAAAACAAGCCACTTTGCAAAAGAATCTCATTTTGACAACTCTTAACCATTCAGTAATGACCTGAAGCGTGCTACAGATATTAGCTGTGAATGCTAACTTTAGCTTTAGCTCTTATGCTAACATTCCGTGGTCTCATGTGTTGCAGATAAGGAGCCGTCCTCTCCTCTGGGGATCCCAGCGTTGTCCATCGTGGCGTCCACTGCCAGCTCCGTGGCTCTCATCCTGCTGCTAGTCGTGCTCTTTGTTCTGGTTCAACCCAAACTCAAGTCTTTTCACCACAGCAGGTAAGCAGACCATTATTTAAACATGTGAGGAGTTCTATAGCAGTTGTTTTAGCGCTTATTAAAAGAGAGTAAAGGTAAAAACAAAACCTTGTAAAGTCCTTTGGGGATTTTTCAGACTCCTATTGGTTTGAATGGGAGCAGTCAAAATGGCAGCTCTGGGAGATTTAGTGTTAAAGGGTTGTTTTCTAATGTGGAACGTTTCCAGTCCATAACCTGAATAATGGACACAGATGAGAAAAAGCTAAACATAAATGTTCTGTCGGAGCTTTCCGTGTCACTGTTGTGCTGTAATCTCTGAGAATCTGGATTGGATGTAGCCACACCTGAAGACAACAATAAAAACAGGTCACTGCTGATGATGTCATAGATCGAGCTTCTGCCATATGAACCAACTCTGAAGAGCACAGGGACTGGCCTCCTGCTGGGACTCTGAGGAGCACAGGGACTGGCCTCCTGCTGGGACTCTGAGGAGCACAGGGACTGGCCTCCTGCTGGGACTCTGAGGAGCACAGGGACTGGCCTCCTGCTGGGACTCTGAGGAGCACAGGGACTGGCCTCCTGCTGGGACTCTGAGGAGCACAGGGACTGGCCTCACGCTGGGACTCTGAGGAGCACAGGGACTGGCCTCCTGCTGGGACTCTGAGGAGCACAGGGACTGGCTTCACGCTGAGACTCTGAGGAGCACAGGGACTGGCCTCCTGCTGGGACTCTGAGGAGCACAGGGACTGGCCTCCTGTTGGGACTCTGAGGAGCACAGGGACTGGCTTCACGCTGGGACTCTGAGGAGCACAGGGACTGGCCTCCTGCTGGGACTCTGAGGAGCACAGGGACTGGCCTCCTGCTGGGACTCTGAGGAGCACAGGGACTGGCCTCCTGTTGGGACTCTGAGGAGCACAGGGACTGGCCTCCTGCTGGGACTCTGAGGAGCACAGGGACTGGCCTCCTGTTGGGACTCTGAGGAGCACAGGGACTGGCTTCACGCTGGGACTCTGAGGAGCACAGGGACTGGCCTCCTGCTGGGACTCTGAGGAGCACAGGGACTGGCCTCCTGCTGGGACTCTGAGGAGCACAGGGACTGGCCTCCTGCTGGGACTCTGAGGAGCACAGGGACTGGCCTCCTGCTGGGACTCTGAGGAGCACAGGGACTGGCTTCACGCTGGGACTCTGAGGAGCACAGGGACTGGCCTCCTGCTGGGACTCTGAGGAGCACAGGGACTGGCCTCCTGTTGGGACTCTGAGGAGCAAAGGGACTGGCTTCACGCTGGGACTCTGAGGAGCACAGGGACTGGCCTCCTGCTGGGACTCTGAGGAGCACAGGGACTGGCCTCCTGCTGGGACTCTGAGGAGCACAGGGACTGGCCTCCTGCTGGGACTCTGAGGAGCACAGGGACTGGCCTCCTGTTGGGACTCTGAGGAGCACAGGGACTGGCCTCCTGCTGGGACTCTGAGGAGCACAGGGACTGGCCTCCTGTTGGGACTCTGAGGAGCACAGGGACTGGCTTCACGCTGGGACTCTGAGGAGCACAGGGACTGGCCTCCTGCTGGGACTCTGAGGAGCACAGGGACTGGCCTCCTGTTGGGACTCTGAGGAGCACAGGGACTGGCTTCACGCTGGGACTCTGAGGAGCACAGGGACTGGCCTCCTGCTGGGACTCTGAGGAGCACAGGGACTGGCCTCCTGCTGGGACTCTGAGGAGCACAGGGACTGGCCTCCTGTTGGGACTCTGAGGAGCACAGGGACTGGCTTCACGCTGGGACTCTGAGGAGCACAGGGACTGGCTTCACGCTGGGACTCTGAGGAGCACAGGGACTGGCCTCCTGCTGGTCCCAGAGTCAGGACTAAACATGAGGAGGCAGCGTTTCAGATTCATGCGGCTAAAATCTTGAGCAGTCTTCCTGAAGATTTGAGACCGGCTTCTTCACTCACAATGTTCAAATCATTGTTAAAACACTTCTGTAACAACAGCATCAACTGAAGGATTTTACCTTTACTCTTTCTAAAGTTCTGTGATTATTTATGACGTTAATCCTTCTTCTCTTGTGTTCAGCCCTTTGCCTGTGTGTGTGCTATACCAATAAACCTGCTTGTGTGCAGGAGAGAGCAGGGCGTGTCGGGACAGTCTGGGTCCATCATGGTGGAGGGGGTGCAGGTGCCACTCCCCTCGTATGAAGAGGCCGTGTACGGGAACTCCATTGAAGGCGCTCCCCCTGCCTCCCCCGTGCCTCCCCCCTCCGTCCCCATCGTGCTGTCGGAGGGACCTCAGGGGGCCAGCGGAGGCTCAGGTCCACACACAGACTTTGACTACTGCCTCCCCTCCACATCCTCCTCCTCCTACTCCTCCTCCCGCCACAGTCGCCAAGCGGAGACTGTCCTGGTCCACCACACCTCCTCCTCCTCCTGGGACAGAGACTCCCCACGAGGAGCCTGTGCCCCCCTCCCTCTTCGCAGAGACTCAGAGAGCAGTGACCAGCACAGCCTCCTGTCCGTCACCTCCACAGACGACTACTCTGATGGTACGTGCTCCTCTCTCTGTTCTCTCTCTCTCGCTCTCTGTTCTCTCTCTGCCTCTCTCTGCCTCTCTCTCTCTCTCTGTTCTCTCTCTGACTCTCTCTGACTCACTCACTCTCTCACTCTCTCTCTCTGGTCTCTCTTTGACTCTCTCTGGTCTCTCTTGGACTCTCCCTCTGGTCTCTCTCTCTGACTGTGAGGCTCACGTGTGTTTCTGTTTCAGATATTCCTCTGCTGAAGGAAGCGTGATTGTGAGGCTCCGCCCCCTCAGCTGAAGCCCCTCCCCCTTCAGCTCAAAGACTAAAGACTGTGTTCCTGTGCACAGACCCACAGACTCATTCCCCTGCTGCCCCTCTGCTATGGCTTTAACCACGGCACCTCCCAGAACCAGGACCTCCTTGCACCTCCTGGAACCACAGCATCAACCAGAACCAGCAGCACCTAGCTCCTCTCGGCTCCTCTCTGCACCTCCTTGCACCACGGGACCATCCTGGATTACCCCTGCTGTCTGGATTCTGGTCTGGAGGCTGGTTTTGAGGCTAGTCTGGAGGTCACACCTGTATGTCCAGGACAGGAGCCCGCCTCAGCCCTGGTGCCGCGGCCCGGGTCCAAACGGTCTTCCCAGTGGACTTGAGAACCTTTTGAGTAACAGCTGGGTTTATGCCCGTCATGTGAATGCTGCATGTCTTCTTTCTTTTTTTTTACCATCAACAAACGAGAGAGAGGCCCGTCCAGTCTTAAGGAAGCATCACCTCTGTCTCCTGTCGTGTGTGTGCGAGAGTCTGTGTGTGTGTCTGTGTGTCATTATAAATTGGCCTTTGTTTGTTTTTGTTGTATTTCTGTGCCGAGGCTCATGAACCGTTTTCAGTCAAACGCGTCCAGTTTGAACTTAATCTGTTTCTCAAGACAATGAATCGTCCATTATTCTGATTCTCTCTCTCTCTCTCTCTCTAAAGCCAGGTTCACACGGCAGGATATTTAGGCCGATTTAGACCCGATTTACCCCTTACGACAATCTTAAGAAACGCTCCGATTTCCGTAACAAAATCTTACAGATTATCCTGCCGTGTGTGGTGTGTTAAGACTGCACTCGTCGCTCGGAAGGACATCGGGATTGCTCCCGATCTCAAATCGGGGATATCCAACATGTTGGATTGTTTTGGCCCGATTTCTCTTTGTGTGTGGTGTCCCCCGAGGACAGACGTGCGCGTTGCCATGACTGCGGCGTGTAGCCAATCAGAAGACGAGACGAGGCGGTGAGGAAACGCCTCCATATCACGATGTAGCAAGTGTAGTCCATGCTCGTGTTGTCTACACTTCTTTGACCATCGCCTTTTCTTTTGATTACGTCTTTTCTCCGATAAAAACAAACTATCGCCAATGCATCCTCTTCGTCCGCCATGTGTGTTTACTCTGAAGTCACGCTTGATCTCGCGAGACCTGAGATTTCCGTCTGATCTGTGAACCAAAGTGGTTAGACCCGTGATTTTTTATCTCCCTGTGTGGGGTCTCACACAGAGAAAAATCGGCCGACAATTTTAAAATAGTCTCGTGTGAACCAGGCTTAGCTCAAGGTCTTATTACCTGCAGCTGGTTACAGTGAAGACACAGAGTGTCAAAGAGAAACCTGGATTTTCTCAAATTTGTCAAATTTAAGTTTCATTCCCAGTTTTGAGAATCTGATGAAGGTTTTCGTTCTTGTTGTTGTTATTGACGTCCGCATCAGTAATGTTGCCTTAGACACAACTCTGTTTCTCAAAGATCCTCATCGTCTCCAAAGGCCTTACTTTATTCTGTTCTATGCATAAACGGTGTATCTGACAGTATCTCTGTGTGGACTGGGGTGTTCTCCCCTCTCTCTCCCTCCTCTCGGACTGTGGTAAAACCCTCTGTGGGTCCATTTCTCTGCAGCGAGACTCACACTTCAAAACACTCTCACACGTCGAGACTCTCACGTCGAGACTCTCTCTCACGTCGAGACTCTCTCTCACGTCGAGACTCTCTCTCACGTCGAGACTCTCTCGTTGTGGGAAAGCAATTGAAATGACGTGGATGAAACACTGTTGTGCAGTGTTCGCTGATGTTTGCAGGTTTAAAAATGTACTTTTGGTTCGATGCTTTGACCTTGTTTCAGTCTCTGTTCATGGCAGTGGGTGTGAAGATAGTAATTTAATATTTGTATAAAGTTTTAATTTAATTTTACAGTGTGTATATAACTTTTTAATTAAAGCTTTCTTTTGGATGTGACCCTGTGTCTTGTTTCGATTATTCAAGGCCATGTTTAGACGGAGACGCTGCAAAGCAAGGCTAGTTCTTGCTTGCAGCCAGTAGGAGGCAGTGTAACTTTACAGCACGACACACGTGACCCCCAGCAGAACCACTTCAACAACATCCTCCTCAGGCCGCCGCAAAAACTGAAACTACAGCTGTGGCTTGGTTTGGACGAAGGAGCAGAATCCTCCACCGTTAGCAAAGCATTAGCATTACTCGACCCACCACCATTGTTGTTTACGTTTGTCTACTGCACATGTTCAAATGTACCTGGGGGAAGTGGAGGTCATCACAGCTGAGAAAGACCAGAGACTGAGACCAGCGAGAGAGACCAGAGAGACTGAGACCAGAGAGAGAGACTGAGACCAGAGAGAGAGACTGAGACCAGAGAGAGAGACTGAGACCAGAGGGAGAGACTGAGACCAGAGGGAGAGAGACCAGAGAGACTGAGACCAGAGAGAGAGTAGTAAGTAATTAAGTAAACTTTATTTATAAAGCGCCCTTCACCAGGGTCACAAAGCGCTTTACACACATATAATAAATTAGACATACACATTTTTAAAGGCCAAGACAACCATGTAAAAACAGCAAGACAAACTTACGCAAAAGCCTGAACAAATAAATGGGTTTTCAGTTGACTTTTGAAGCACTCAACAGACTCTATAGAAAGCAGAGAGAGCGGGAGAACGTTCCAAAGCCTGGGAGCGACAGCCTGGAAGGACCTGTCTCTTCTGGTCTTGAAGCGAGTGCGTGGAACCATCAGGAGGTTCTGATCCACAGACCTCAGAGCCCTGGCTGGGGTGTAAGGCTGGATCAGGTAACTGATGTAAGACGGAGCCTGACCGTGCAAAGCTCTGAAGGTTAAAACCAGAATTTTAAAATGTATCCTGTAGGACACTGGCCGCCAATGAAGAGCTTTCAGGACAGGGGTGATGTGCTCCTCCTGCTGGTGCGGGTCAGGATTCTCGCTGCAAAGTTCTGCACTAACTGGAGGCGAGACAGTTCTTTCTTATTTAAACATGAAAACAGACTGTTACAATAGTCTAAACGCGAAGACACAAATGCATGGATAATCACCTCCAAATCATTCTGTGAAACCATTTTCCTGACTTTGGAGATTCTCCTCAGCTGAAAAAGCAGTTCCTGGTCAGCTGTTTACAGTGCTGCACTAACGACATGTCCTTATCAAAAATAACACCTATGTTTCTGAGGCTCAGTTTAGCTGACTGGCCTAAGTCACCTAGGCCCTGGTTTATCCCTGGGATGTGGTCGTTTGGGGCAATCACCAGAGTTTCTGTTTTGTCAGCGTTGAGCTGCAAAGTGTTGTCACTCAGCCATTGTTTTATCTCGACCAAGCATAGGACCAAGGAGTTAAGCCTCTGGAGCTCGGTAGGCTTGAAAGAGTAGTATAGCTGGATATCATCAGCAAAAATGTGGAACGAGATGCCAGGAAATCTCCGGACAATCTTTCCCAAGGGGGTCAAATACAACAGGAAAAGTAGCGGACCCAAAACGGAACCTTGGGGACCCCACACAACAAATCTGCTGACTCAGAACATATCTGGTTTGCTGCGACACTAAGACTGCGTCCAGATAAGAGACCAGAGAGAAAGACCAGAGAGAGAGAGACCAGAGAGAGATACATAATTATTGTGTATGGTTTCACCGTGGTACGATAATACAACGCTCTAAGTGCGACATCTAGTGGCTGAAGAATGTAGTGCAACATAACTTGACGTCATCTCCGGAGATATCCCGAAGGCCGCTCGGGTGTTTCCGCCACACGCTGTCCATGCCCCTCCTTGAGACGACACCATTTTGTGTCCATTCTCCGCTCTGCAGCAGCTAACTACAGTCGCCCAAACTCTCCTCCAGGCAACACAGTACAAACTCAAGGTAAGTCTTTCATATTTATTATTATTATTTACACGTTTTAATATTTAGTAATCCCGTTTGTTTTACGAATAAGCTCAAATGTTTATGCTGCGCTGTTAGCTCCTTTTCCAACGGTTAGCTAGCTAGGCCTCAGCGCCCGCGTGACCTCCTAGCTTGATTTCAGTTGTAAAATAACTGCCAGATTTAGACGCACATTTCCACCGTGTTTTCCCTTTTACTGCAGAAACTAGAGAAAGACCAGAGAGAAAGAAGAGAGACTATAGTGAAGGGGAACAGCGAGAGAGACTGAGACCAGAGAAAGGCCTCCTCCTAGCTAAATGTGACGGATAAAGCTAATTTTCATTGTAAAGAGCCACATTTAGACGCATAAATTAACTTTGCATGTCCTTGGTACCAGAGAGACAGACCTCCAGCTAGTTTTAATTTGTGTTGTGAATTACCAACCTGAGACGCATATATGAACCCTGTGCCTGGTCTCCTCTTGCAGACAGACAATGAGTGGGTGTCGCATCTTCATCGGTCGCCTGAGCCCGTCCGCCCGAGAGAAGGACGTGGAGAGGTTCTTCAAAGGATATGGCCGCATTCGGGACATAGATCTCAAGAGGGGGTTCGGATTCGTGGTAAGTACATGTGACCAGCCATGCTTAAGAATAGTCTAATAAGCATTTCGTAGTGAACTGGTCGTAACAGTACGTTTTGTAGTCTGTTTAAACCACTGTACCCTCCATTGGGATTAGTTTTCCTGTTCTATCACAATAACATTTTATATTTGGTTAGATGTGATTCAAACCTGCAGAACCCTTTTCCATATCTTCACACGATTACAGGGTTGAAAAGGGGTTGGATGTAGCAGAATCTTATCTTTCCTCACCCCTTCAGTGTGCAGTAACACGCCAAAACCAGCTGGCCGTGGGTGATCTTTTTGCTTTATGGTGATGGATGAAAAGTGTTAAGTTCCGAATGACTATTTTATGAAAAGGGCATCAAAACTATAATGTTTTGGACCTCTAGGTTTGTGACAGTTGTTGCCAACAAAAAATGACCATAGTGTTAAGCTCACCGCACACCGAAACGCAGCGCCTCGCGGCGCGTCATTTGACGCGCGTTCATGACATGTGTCAAATTACACCGGAACGCCTTGGCTAGCGTCCTTTTCCAGCTGATCGCAGATGAAATGGGTGAGTGACGTTTGGAAGTTTCTACTAATATTTTGGGGGAGGAAACAAAGTATTTACGTGAAATTATGCTGGCAAATATTACAAGAAAAGACTATTTGGACCCATTTTTTAAACAGGCTAATAACTAGCTCTGGGTAACGCTGTACTTGGGTTATCAAGCTTTCCTCGTCCATTGTGACCGGTTTACTTGAGCAATAGCGCCGACAAGTGTGTAAATTTGAGACCGCGCTCACAGCTACGTGATAAGAAGCGCAGAAGACGAAAACTACGGGTGCTTGGAGGGACAGTTTCAGCCGCGGCGCCGCGTCTGGATTCAACAAAACTGAATCGTGGCGCCCGGTCCAGCGTCGCCGCGCGTCACTGCAACCTTGGTGTGCGTTCTCTCATAGAAAATAAAGGAGGCGGCTCTTTTGCCGCGCGTCAAGGCGTTTCGGTGTGCGTTGGGCTTTAGAATATTGTGTTCTTACAAAAGTTTGCTTTTGCTAGGGTTTTTAAAAATGTAATACTGTGGGCAAGGCTAAACTTTTTTCAAACTTCAAAGGATGCAGAGTGAAATAGGTATGGCTTACATCAACTAGAAGGCTAAAGCTTTAAAATGATGCATGTGATGTTTAAGATTTGTTTTTAAATATGTAAAGACATCAGGTGGATGAGACTGCAGTCTATCTACAGGAAGAAGTTCTGTGTCAGTTCATTCATAATTTCTCTCATGCTCCATCTCTCGCTTCCTCTGCGGTTGTACCTCACATTCAATGCTCCTTTGTGAGCGCTCTATCCACCCACATTCAAAGACTCAAGTGCAAGTGTGAGGGTGTAAGTGGAGCTTTATCTTCCTCCTGCTGTTTCATGGGAAGGACTGGACAGAGGAGGTTCTCTGTCCCCTCGCTACACCTCGTCAGTCACCTTTAAAACGAGCAGAGGTACTGTGGTAGAATACATTTGCTCCAGGGATGAAACTGCAGTAGTGTACATTACCCAAACACTAAAGGTTCAGGGACAGACAGACGTCAGCGCAGGCTCCGGTTCGTCCACATTCCCAACTGTATTCTGGAGTCTTTGACCTTCAAACTGAGTAACAGTGACAGTCTTCTTCAACGACGATACATTTATAACTTGTGCTGCAGCTCAAAGTTTTGCTTCTGTTTATGCAGGAGTTCGATGACCCCAGGGACGCTGAAGATGCAGTTTATGAGCTCGATGGCAAAGAACTTTGCAACGAAAGGTGAGTCACTGCAATCTTTCTGCTCCAGTTTTTAGTGGTTTAAAACAGGGGTGATGTGTTCCAAAGATAACCCACAGTAAGGTAAAAACCTAAACTCGCCCCTGCTGAGGGGAGAGGCCAGAGTGGGCTTTACCGATTGGTGATTGTGTATGATGTTGTTGGAGTAAACACATAAGAAGCTCTGAATGACACACTAATATTCCCTTCTATAACTGACCTTTCTCCTGTTTCCTGCAGAGTGACCATAGAACACGCCCGAGTGCGTCTGCGCGGAGGCCGAGGCAGAGCCAGCAGCTCTGGGGGAAGATTCTCATCGTCAGATCGCTACGGCAGAGGCTCTCAGAGCAGTCGCAGGTACAGCCTCAGATCGAGGAGGGAGAAAGAGTGCAGGGAAATGCACAGGGCCTGACTGTATGGACCTTTTACCTTTGGTCTACTGGACCAAGTAGAATGCTATAGTCAAAATAGATTAGATTTCCCAGAGAGCTTTGATCATCAGTGTCCTTAAAACAGTCTGTTTTGCCCCATCAACTGTTTACAAGTCTGACAGGATTTACAGCAGCTCAGTGTAATGTAATATTCCTGGTTTCTGTTTCATCTGCAGCAGCCGCAACCCGCCGCCGATGCGCACAGAGAACCGTCTGATCGTGGAGAACCTGTCGTCTCGCGTGAGCTGGCAGGTCTGTGTTTGCTCCACACACAACTCGGCCCTCACACACACTGTAGACTGCTGCTAGCCTCAGCTAACGTACCAGTCACTGTTTTCACCCAATGTTTGTTCAGTTAAAGCCATGACTCAAAGACAAAATAGCTGCAACATTCCAGTTTGTTTCCAATTTGTCTTTTGTATTAAATTTTAACCAATTCTTACCCCTTTATTTGCCAGCCTGACTGTTGTCGCTTATGGTGGAGTTAACCCCTTCTGGGTCCTTCTGTCTGGTTGAGCCAGTGTGTCCTACTGCTACTACTACTGCAGCTACTAGTTGACGACCGGTATCAAAGGGGCACCAGTGCGGGTCTGAGCGATGAGGATGAGAGAGGCACAGTGTTGGCAGAGGCAGAGAGAGTCGATGGTGGTGCGGATGAGGATGGTGGCGTGTTGGTTCGAGGTTTCGTTTAATCGTGGGGAGTTCCATATCCCTCTCCCCCTCGCAGCAGAGAGCGAGAGTTTGTGTGTTCCTCCCGTGGCTAGCCCACCCCGGTGGCTCGCAAAGGTAGTAGTTTCCTCTCTTCCAAACGCTGTTCACTCTCTTTGCCCGAGGTACGGACGAGCCCTGCCGCCCCCTGCTGGTCCTCTGGGGCACCTCTGTGCCCACCGCCCCTGTGGCCCCCACTGCACTATTGCATTACATGATCTGTGTAGCCCCACGTTACTGGTCCAACAACCTCAACCTGTAGCCTCCATGCTAAGTGCTAATGTCTGCTAGTGCCATGCTAACGTTGGACTGAGGCTTATGGGAAGACCAGAGAGAGGCCCCTCTCTTTGAGGTCAGAGAGAAGCCCCTCTGACCTCAGTGAGAGAGATTCCAGAGAGGGAGAGACCTGAGATGTCTAATGTCTTCCAACGCCATGCTAACGTTGGCTTTTCCTCATTCACTTTTTTTTTTTTTACCTTGAGGTTCTTGGACCGATAGCGGTAGTTTTTTTAGCATCAGATTTCTATCCCGTCTCTTGTGTGGAACTGTCAGTATCTGGAATCTCACTGAAACTTTCATGTGTAGGATCTGAAAGATTACATGAGACAAGCCGGAGAGGTGACTTTCGCTGACGCACACCGGCCCAAACTAAACGAAGGGTGAGGTTCCTCCTTGGTTTGTGTGTCGTGTTTGTTAAACGTGTGGCTATAACCTTCTTTGTCTCTAAAGGGTGGTAGAGTTTGCCTCTTACAGCGATCTGAAAAATGCCCTGGATAAGCTGAGTGGGAAGGAGATCAATGGAAGGAAAATCAAGCTCATCGAAGCCAACAAAGCCAAAAGGTGAGGCGTCTGTTAGACACGCTAACGGCTAATGCTAACGGCTAATGCTAACGGCTAATGCTAACGGCTAATGCTAACGGCTAATGCTAACGGCTAATGCTAACGGCTAATGCTAACGGCTAATGCTAACGGCTAATGCTAACGGCTAATGCTAACGGCTAATGCTAACGGCTAATGCTAACGGCTAGTGCCTAATGGCTAGTGCCTAATGAATCTCCAGCATCTGGTTGTTCCCATACTTTTCCTATGGCAATAATGTCAACATTTATGTCTCTCCTCAGGTCCAGGAGTCGGTCTCGCTCGGCCAGCTCATCTCGCTCTCGCTCCCGGTCTCGCTCCAGATCCCGCGGCCGCTCCGTGTCTCGCTCTCCTCGTCGCTCTCGTTCTCCTCGCAGCCCACGAAGCCCCGCCCCTAAAGCCCGCTCCCCTCCATCCCGCTCGGCCTCCCCCGCCCCTCGAGACTCCTCCCGCACCCCTCCCCCCAAATCCAAGTCCTCGTCCTCCTCGTCCTCAACCAAACGCCAGAACAAGGCCAAGTCCAGTCCTCCCCCATCCCCTCCCCCCGCTCAGAAGGCCTCACGCTCTCGCTCCAGGTCCAGATCCAGGTCCAGGTCTCGCTCCAGGTCCAGGTCCCGGTCCCTGTCCACAGATAGCCAGCGCTAACGCTACACTAAGATGCTCAGCTCCCCTCAATCGTCGACGCAGTTTCCTGTTCGGATTTTTGCATGTTTTTGTACAAGCGCCGTCAGAGACGCGGTCGAAAGTCACATCGATTTAGTTTTTATTAAATAATTGTCTTTAGAGCATAGGTCTCCAACTTTTTCTACTACAGCCACAATTCACCAGACGCAGACAGGGCAGAGAGCTACTCCCAGGTTTAGAAGTTTTCAAACTAAAGTGTGAAGAACCACTGCTTTAAGTTATTAGCTTTTAACATGAGGCATGAACTTTATACATATTTTTAGCTACTTCCTGGTTTGGTCTTAATGAAAAAGTAGTAAACCCGACCATGAAACATACAAGTAAACGTCTATTCTTGCATTTCTCTTCATACGGTTAACATTTATAGACTGTTTCAAAGCTACCTGAGACTTCTGAAATGACCTAAAGTGTAGCTTGGAGACCTGTGCTTTAAAGATTCTCTGATCTGAAATCTACCGTCTGTTCTGCAGCTTCTGAATAAGGTTTAAAGCCAGCGCTAGATAGTTTTTTTTTATCAGCCGTGGAACAGACGCAGGACTAAAGAGGATTTGATAAATATTTTTAACTTCAGATCACAAACCAGAGCGACTCCCATTGATCAGTGATGTTTCTTTTATCGCGGTTTCGTTGTGTTTAATGTGGACTTCTTGTGAGGTATATTTTTTTTTCAACAATTTCTTATGTAAATAGTGGTTTTATTTTCAATGCAAAACGTGAAACATTTGTATGATGACGGTGACTCTTCAAACAATAAAAAAAAATTAAATGACTTTGTTCTTGCTGATCCTGTTGTTTTCGTTGGGTTTCCCTTCACTCTTTCTCGCCGACTCTGAAGCTGGCGTCCTGGTATTCTCCTGTGAACGAGACCAGAAGGAGTCATACACTTAAGCTTAGTCTTCAGAAGCTGCCACAACCTCACACTAACTAAACATTTTATAGGGGAATGTGCAAATCTTAACACAAAAGGTATTGAGTCGAACTTGGTGTGTCTGCAAATATGTAGTACATTGTTTTAAAGATTTAAAAAAAATCAAGTACAGGCACATTTATTCGACCATAAACATTGAACGCGATAAGTCAAAGTAAACTTTATTTAACCCAATCGACAACACACAGCCTTCATGCTTTTACAGTTTCTACTTCACACCAACATTAGGATAAATGTGTAAAACTTCCTAAATAGCTGTTTCTTACAGATTTACAGAACCTGCCGCACCAGGTGTATGACTTTCTCTGTTTTCTCACTTTTGATAAAACCAAGGAGATTTGTTTTTAGGTGAAAGAAGGAAATCTAGTGCTCCCTCTGGTGGCAGCAAAGAGAACTACAGGCGGATTTCACATTAAACGACAAAATTAACACGTGTTTGTGGACAAAAACAATTTACATTTGTTGTTTTGAAATGAAGCGAGAAAAGTACAAATATTACACACGCCTAGTCCTGGATCTACAGCCTCAGCCCTGGGTCTACAGCCTCAGCCCATGGGCGTGGATCCCTTGGGCCTCCTCAAGGTTTCTCACTTTTTCCCATCAGATATATATTTTTGAGTGGTTCCTTTCTGGATGGTCTAAGAGCCTGAACATTTATTAAAACTTCTAAACAGTGGCCATCCCGCTCTCTCTGAACGGCTTCTACATGTTTGTTATTATTGTTAATGTTTGATTCTCTGATCTGTTGTTGGTGAATCCACAACTTTGTCCTCAAACGTAGTGTTGTGTGGTGCAGCTCTCACTTTTGTCGCGCCTCAGTCTCCAGAGCTGCTGCAGTCTGAAGGCTGCCACCAGCATCAGGGCCTCTATGAACTGGAAGAAGACGTAGACAACAGGGAAGAGGAACAGAGGCCCCACGACCTCCGGAGGGAACGCCACTTTGATCAGGGCCATACACAGCTGACCGTTCTGACAGCCGGTCTCCATGGAGACGGTTCGGCATTCTCTGAGGAGAGAGAGGACGCTTTTAACTAATACAATTCATTTATTCATGTATCTCCCTTTATCACAACAGGACTTTTCACGCTGGGTTTAGAGTTTTTCCTCTGATCCAGGATCTCAAGATTTATTCACATTTATGGACTTTGGTCTCTGTGTGTTTTTATCGTTCCATTTCCTGTGTTTGATCTGTTTGATTCTCTGATCTGTTGTTGGCGAATTCACAGTTGTGTAAAGTCACCGGGGACTATTCCAGAATACACTGAATTATTATTATCATTATTTATTCATTTAAACTGTGGACAGCAACAATCACATTTCAAATAGCTGTCTTTTATGTAACTTATTTATATGGAATTATTTTTAGAAATAATATTCTATTTTAAAAGTACGACAGCTGCCCCAAAGCCCCTTTGGTCCAGTTTTATTTCCGTTTTAAGTTTGTTTTCATTCCACCAGAGAAGTGTTAGTTACCATAGCAACACACTGTTTACCTGCCAGCAGCATTCACCGGTTTTAGCACTTAGTAAAAGTTAAAACAAAACCATAAAATAGTGAAAAACAACAACTGTTGATAGCAGTACCTTTCTTGTCGAGTTGCACTGCCGCATACGTCATTTTACTGACGCGTCCTGTGGCTAACTGACAGCTGTAGCATGCAACTGGTCTGTCGGGTTGATAATGGAAATAATAAACAAAATCTAAGTTGTAAGCTTGGATCTATAAGCTGTCGAGTTAGTCAGTAAAATGACGTATGCGGCAGTTCAACTCGACAAGAAAGGTACAGCTATCTAAACAGTAGCAGTGTGGTTTCACAGTGTGGTTTTACTTTTTTCAGTAACGAGTAATCTAACTAATTACTTTGACAGTAACTATAACGCCGTTATCATTTCCGACATCCCGTTACTGCGCGTTACTCAAGACGCACAATGAACGTGTTGTCATGAGAGAAGGGAGGATGAGAAAACCTCTCAGCAATTATTGGCTGATGTAAATCATATTTCCTTTACAATCCACATGTCTGCAGTTGAGAGGATGGCTCATAAATTGTGTTTTTGAAACAAATATGGGTCCTAATCGCGCTCAACCACGGCTTGTATCACCGTGAGGTCAGCCACAGAGGAGCGCATGTGAGCGCAGAAGTCGGCTGCATACAATTCCATCGATAAGCTCCTTGCTCTTCCTGGTTTATCTGCTAAGGACAGCAACAGGTTTGGCTAACATACATATAACACATTTTTACATAATCTAAAATGCACATAGGGTAATTTTTCAATTACTATAGGAATGATAAGAAAGAGAGGTGAAGTGTTAGACGGTTGATTTTAGAAATTGGATGCACTCGGCTGCCGCAAAACAGGAGTTTATGGAGGACACACGCGTTTTGTTTTACTTTTTAAAACTCATTGGACTCATTTCCAAATGGAGGATTACATATCTACGCTCAAACCATTAACTGGATTTAAACAAGGAACTGGTCTGAACCGAAGTGGACTGTGCAGGTCATTTATAAGGTATAGCTATAAGGTAGACCCATAACTCATAGTTTTGCGTTTGGTATGAACAAACAATGCGGGCATAAAACATATTTTGCTGTAGCCAAACAAATTGTCCACTTGATTTATATGATGTATATGTTCATCTGATTGGGCTGAAGTCAGTGCTTCACCAGCCTCACCGCTCGTCACCGGTGTTTCCACATTCACAGTGGAGCGTGTTGGTGTTTAGTGCTTAGTGCACAGAGAGAGATGAAGAGTGAATAGGACTTCAGCAGCAAAACAGCCTTTTCTAGATGGAAATATTGGCACTGTTAAAGGTAATTCAATTTGGAGAGACGAGAAACAGGGAGTTGAGTATTTTATGAAAGGAGGTTTGGCGCCCTAGGTCCCGGTGCGGCCTTCGGATCGGAAAGGCTCCTGCGATGAGCGCGCACAATCCCCCGGGACCTAGGCACTGGTGGCGGCATTTGGCAGCGGGAAGAAAATTGAAGGCAGATTGGAGGCAGGGTGAAGAGGAGGAGGAGGGGAGGCGGTGGTTGCGAGGCTTCAGGAGGCCGGTAGTGGGAGTTGCTCCGTTTTTATGCGGCTGCGAGTCGGTACAGATGATTGGAAGGGGGCGTCTGCTGAGCGATAGGCTGGGGATGACAGCCGGCCTGGAGGGGGTAAATTTGGTTAACGTCTACCAAATTGAATTTTCGCGGGCTGCATAAATGCGCACGTCGGGTGCACATTATGTTCCAGAACAAAACGAAAAAGTAACTCAATAGTTACTTTTACTGGTAACTAGTTACTTTTATAGTGGAGTAACTCCGTTAGTAACTCAGTTACTTTCTGGGAGAAGTAACTAGTAACTATAACTAATTACTTTTTCAAAGTAACGTGCCCAACACTGCTAACTGACAGCTGTAGCATGCAACTGGTCTGTCGGGTTGATAATGGAAATAATAAACAAAATCTAAGTTGTAAGCTTGGATCTATTAGCTGTCGAGTTAGTCAGTAAAATGACGTATGCGGCAGTTCAACTCGACAAGAAAGGTACAGCTATCTAAACAGTAGCAGTGTGGTTTCACAGGAGCAGTTGACTACTTAAACCAAACTTAACATGAAACTTTGACTCTTAAAACACACAAATAACACGGAACCATCAACAACTCGCCTCAAATTGCATCAAAAGTGACATGTGTGTCTAAATTTGTTCGTATTCAAAGTTTTTAAACATTCCGCAGGTTTGCATTACATCATAAACAGCTGAGGCAGTGCATCTCGACGGCGTTAAAAGACATTTATGACACTAAAGTCAATAAATGAGCCTGTACTCGAGAAACTGTGTGCAGCATTGTCATTGAGGGGCTACAAGCGGGTTAGCATTATCCATCTGTAGACTGTGGCATGGACAAGCCAGCTGCTGATTGGCTGCTGGTGAACCTGGGACCATGTGCTTACGGCTGTGAGAGTCTGAAGAGACAGGAGAGGAAGTATCCACAGGTGTAACCGATGATGGGCATCAGGACAGCTGTCGCCAAAAGGGGAGGAGCCACCACTGTCCAGAACTCCTCCCCGTTCTGCAGGTTTGTGAGGACCATAACAACCAGGATGCAGACCGAGGAGACAACCAGACCCACCTGAGAGAGCACACACATGAGAGAGAGACCAGAATGAGACAAGAGAGAGAGACCAGAGGAAACCAGAGAGATCAGAAAGCACACGTGAGAACCAGAGACAGATCAGAAAGAGAACAGAGAGATATGACAGAGAGAGAGAGAGAGACCTCAGAGAAAGAGCAGACTGACCCTGGTGATGAGGCGAGAGTACTGTGGCCTGTAGTGGTTGAGGAGGATTCCGATGCCGCAGGGGATCAGGATGGAGAGCAGAGAGAAGACGATGCCCTTATATGGAACTGCTTCCTGTAGACCAGCGATGCCCTGGCAGTACAGGAAAAGCAGCAGAGGCATCATCCCCAGAGCCAGAGCCGTGGAGCAGGTGGTCATCACGATACTGAAGAGAGAGACACCAGTGAGAGACCAGAGAGAGACTAGAGACCAGAGAGAGATTAGAGCGAGACCAGAGAGAGAGCAGAGAGACCAGAGACTAAGCAGAGAGAGACCAGAGAGAGACCAGGGAGAGAGACCAGAGTGAGAGATCAGAGAAAGACCATATAGACCAGAGAGAGACCGGAGAGAGGCCAAGGAGAGAGACCAGAGTGAGTGACCAGAGAGACACCAGAGAGACCAGAGTGAGAGAGCAGAGAGAGACCAGGGAGAGAGACCAGAGTGTAAGAGAGAGTCCAGAGAGCTAATCTCACTGGTAAAGTACCATGTGGCCGCAGAACTAAAAAAGGTCTCGTTATGATTCTCAAATCATTAACGACAAAACAAGGATTAAAACCAGGATTTCTATCTCTGTGAAAAAGCTGTTGGTTATAGATTTGTTGTTGACAAAACTCTATTCAGCTGTTATGGTCTGGATTGGTCTGCATATCTGGCAACCTGAGTCAGGGAGAGCGCAGTACCCCTTTTGGCCAGATTTTTACATGCTGCATCTAGGAGTAAATACTCTCGTTATTCCAACATCTCAGAGTCTGCTGTGGAAGATTAAAGATGAAAGATAAAGATGAAGAGATCCTGGTCCCACAGTGGGAAATGTCAGTGTTGCATCACCAGTTACACAACTGTATAATCTCTAACTTTAGTGTCATAAAGAAGCAAGTATGAAATCTGTCAGTCCTCTCTGTGACGCAGGCAGAGTTCTGTGGGAGAAAGTTCAGCAATAAACATTTTATTGTGGTTGTTAAACGTGTGTGTTTGTCTGCGTGTGTGTGTGTGTGTGTGTGTGTGTGTGTGTGTGTTTGTGTGCGTGTGTGTGTATGCTGGTGCATGTGTGTGTATGCTGGTGTGTGTGGGTGTGCGTATGTGTGTGTGTGTGTGTGTGTCTGACCTGAGGTTCATGTCTCCCCTGATCCCCAGACTCATGATGTTGGAGAGCAGACCTCCAGGACTACAGCCACAGATCAGCACCACCACACTGGGGATCTGTGCCAGCTGGAAGGCCTGCACACACACATGGTCTGTACCTATGGTCTCTGCCTATGGTCTGTTGATTAAGTTGCTGATGATCGTTGATGGTCCGGACCTATGTATTAAGTTATTAGTGGTTGTTGATGGTCCGTACCTTGGCGAGGCAGAAGGCCGACAGAGGCATGATCCCGAACTGAGCGGCCAGAGCGATGACCACTCCCTTTGGCTTCAGGATGTGCTTCTGCAGAAACAGGACTGCTGTGAGAGACCAGGAAGAGACCAGGAGGAGACCAGGAGGAGACCAGGAGGAGACCAGGGAAAGACCACGAGGAGACCAGGGGAAGACCAGGGAAAGACCAGGAGGAGACCAGGAGGAGAGCCAGGACACAGAGGGACTGTCTTTCAGCTGGCCTGGGAACGCCTCAGGATTCCCCCAGATGAGCAGGAAATGCTGGAGAGTAAAGTTTATCGTCTTTATGCTCTGATGGTCCCAGGATGAGGTCATGTGTTTGTGATCATTCCTCTGTCAGTAATCTCTGAGTAATCTGATTACTTCTATTACTCAGATACTTAACTGCCTTTTATTGACAAAACATACAGTCACAGTCATTTTAAGTGTGAGCAAGATGGCGCCTAAGTTTGGTCTTGCCTCGTCAGCTACGATGTTGTTTTCCTGTTATTCACAACATGTTCTTCCATCATGTCTGCTCTGATGGTCAGCGACAGATCTGACAGAAACTAATCCTGTGGAGCATCCACAGACTTGCTCCTGGATTAATGACACTGTTGGGAATCTGCCTCGATCCTGTCGTGAAATCAGACGCTTGTGGCATGAGGTCCACAGACTGTATCTGAGGGACCGTGTCGTCTCTCTGAAAGATCAATTACATGAAGCGAGATCAAAATATCAGTTGATTGATTCCAACAAGAGAAACCCCACGTTGCTCTTCGACACCAACAATTTAACGAGTTTCTGAACTTCTTTATTGACTAGAATAGAGAGATTAAAGATTAACTTCCCTCCTCCAGTCAAGTTCATGACACGGTGGACCAGGGCATCTTGGTTTCAGGACTGCGGGATGTGGCCAGGCTCTGTGTTAGACTGTGTTAGACTGGTTTAGATCATACCTGAGAGCTAGAACCTTCTGTGTGTCCTCTAACAACATGGTGTCAGAACCTGCAGACCTACAGTGGGGCGTACCCCAAGGCTCCGTTCTTGGGCCTATTTTGTTTTTGTTGTACTGCTCTTTTAAGCCCTCTGAACCCCAGAGACTAGTTTCTCTAGGCTTATTGATTATAGCCTCCAGCTGAACTCTGGTTTGTTTTATCAGAGTAAATCTGACTTGTTTTTAAATCTGACTTGCGTGTGTCTTATTTTTATCTGTATGTTTGTCAAATGTGAAGCGCTTTGTTTGTGAAAGGCGCTATACAAATAAACTTTACTTACTTACTTATTGCACTGTTCAGAAAGAGGGTTAAGTTTAATCTAACCTAGTCACTCGGTGTGACCCTAACCCTAACCCTAAACCCCTAACCCTGAAACATGTGATCCTGGACCCTCTGTTTGTTTTGAGCCGATTGATTTAAGAAAACACTGAAATTCAAACTTCTTTCAAGAAACGTTTAAAATATAAGAACTTTATCCAATAACTTCAAACACAGTGGTCCCTGTTCATCGCAGGTTAAAGATAACAACCACATCTCACTGTTACAAAGAGACAGGCTTTTCGACTGAAGGGGGCGGAGCTACAGGTTTGTGACGTAAGTGTGGGTGGAGCTAAACCCAGGGTCTCAAATATGTGGCCCGCAGGTCATTTGCGGCCCCCGAAAAGGAATGATGTGCCCTCCTAGTGGCCATCAAAGTATTCTGGGCTGATATGTACTGTATGTGTTATACATCATTTTAAGACAACGACCACAGCATTTACAGTTTGATAAACACTGAACCAAGCCCCGGTTTCAAATCAGTGGTTTGTGCTCAGAGGCGCATGTGCCACCGTGGGGACCGAAGGATTAGCAGAACTCGCCCATATTTGGGCATTGTTTGGTCCTCTGGTTCTGCACAGTGGACGAGCTCCCATGATGCTTTGCACCAAATACGTGTGTGTGTCTCTCATGCACGTGCACAGAGCTCGGCCGTGTTCTGACCAATCAGAGCTGCTGATCAGAGCAGCGGTAGAGCGGGAGCCAAATGAACAGAGTTTGTGGCAGAAAAGGGTGAATTTATAGAAAAGCGAAGGATTTAAGGAGAAGAAAAGTTCAGGATGACAAGAGACGCTAAAATGTAGGTTGTAGGTTCTCTGTCAGGTTCTCTGTCAGGTTCTCTGTCAGGTTCTCTGTCAGGTTCTCGGTCAGGTTCTCTGTCAGGTTCTTTGTCAGGTTCTCTGTCAGGTTCTCTGTCAGGTTCTCTGTCAGGTTCTCTGTCAGGTTCTCTGTCAGGTTCTCTGTCAGGTTCTCTGTCAGGTTCTTTGTCAGGTTCTCTGTCAGGTTCTCTGTCAGGTTCTCTGTCAGGTTCTCTGTCAGGTTCTCTGTCAGCTGAGGTGGAGTTGTGTTAGTTACATTGAGTTCTATGGGACACTTTTCTGTGCAGCCCACATGACTTTAGTCTGGTTTATTCTGCAGTACCTCGAGAATCCCCCGAGCACAGGGTCCTTCAGCTTCAAGCTGTAATACTCTATCCAGAGATTTTAATAGAGATTATAATTGATAGAAAGTAAGGAGTAAAAGTAAACATTATTAAGCCCAGCGTGGACAACAGTCTGTGGTCTACCTTGATCTTGGTGACCTCCATGGTACATCCCAGAGAGATCATGGTGAGAAACATGGCACCAATCACAACAAAGTCTCCGATCCTGTTGATCTGATTGGCTGCTGAGCTCACAGTCCCGTTCAGGCTGTTGTTCCTCCACATGTCCTCCACAGACAGGTTCTGCATCGTGGGGAGAAACCGAGAGCACAGAGAGAGAGATCACAGAGAGAGAGAGAGCACAGAGAGAGAGAGCACAGAGAGAGAGAGAGACCACACAGAGGTTCCAGGGCAGTGAGCTTTAAGTACTTTATTTCTCTCTAACCTTTACTCGGAGGCGGAGTCTGCTGCATTTGTTTTATCACATCTGGAGTCGTCCTGCTCTCTCTCTCTCTCTCTCTCTCTCTCTCTCTCTCTCTGTGGTCTGTAGTCGTAGAGCACAGTCTCCTGACGAGAGGCACATGACCCTCTGGTTGGTGTTGTTGTTTAGTGAATGTCGTTGCTTTTGATGTGAGTTGAATTTAAAGTTTAATATTAAATGTTATATTACATCAATAGATAAAAATAATAATAATAATAATAATAATGCATTGGTTTTACACAGCGCCTTTTTGGACACTTTACATGTGTCATTATTCTTTCACTCTTTCACACTGATAATGTTGTAATTATTTCTTATATTTTTTGTGTATTTATAAAATACATGTTGTATCACTTTTTTTCATGAGTAACAATGTTATTTTTGAGTTTGGAACAGAATGTAATTGTTTTGTGCCAAGTTTGTTTTTCAGAAGCCTCTGTCTGACTCTAAACCATTCTTACTTTTACACAGAGACGACTGTGATCGAAGAAGAAGAAGAAGAAGAAGAAACAGAAACCCAAAACAACACTTTCACAATCAGAACTGAAAGATTGAATCAGTGTCAATCAATAGGATTTAGCACAACACTCACTCAGACTGAATACAGAAGGACCATACTAACCCGACAGCTCAATGAAATCCAACAGGGAAGTGCTCATGGATGAAGTTTGGCTCCTTTCTCTGGCTCCTGTTGACTTACATGTAAGGGATAACGGGATACAGGATACTTATTTTCCGATAATGACCTGCGTACTATACGTTATCCCACTTATTACACGGCTTTATACCAACAGAACACACAACATAAACTTCAGTCCACTTTTAGGAATGCCAAAAGGTTTAATGACAGAAAATAAAATAGTTCCCAAAGGCTTTCCCGTGGCTATGCTAGCAACAGTTAGGCTGGGAACTTCCAAACTAGAACTCTCTGGAACTGCATGAAAACTGAACAAAGGATCCTGAACATCAGCGGTGAGTGACCCAAACATAAACCTAACCTAAATCCATAATTTCATCCTCTGCAAATGTTCCTAAAATGTGCCGGGATCTACTTCCAGGTTTTTCGGGATCGCCTTTTCTCGCATTACATCAGTGTTTTTGTCATGAAAACGTAAACGGAAATTTCAGAAAACTTCTGTGCACTTGTATTAAGAGTGGATATGTCTAATGTATTCTCCGATTAACATTTAATTGTGTTGATTGATTGGCATTTGCGTTTAATGAGCGTGGCTATCTCAGGAGTGGCCGGAGTGCGGAGTTATCCACGCATCTGAAAGACAAGCAGAGAGTGCGTTGCCAAAGGGCAGCGGTCATTATTGTTTTGAGAGGTCTGTTATAGAAAATAATGACCGGTAGAACGTTTTGAAATTACATTCAGATCAATGGAGCGTTCTCCTGCTGCTGTGAGGAGCCTGTGATAAGTAAAAGTAAACTCCTGTAGCTCAGTTTGTGTGACATCACCTGTTTGGGCTTTGATCTGTGGTTTATGTGATTGTCTTTGTAGATCCTGATATGAGTCATAGAAGGACTGACCAATACTCTACTCTGCTATACTCTCTCTCTCTCTCTCTCTCTCTTTTCTCCCTTTCTCTCTCCCTCTCTCTTCTCTCTCTCTCTTCTCTCTCTTTCTTCTCTCTTTCTATTCTCTCCCTCTCTCTATCCCTCTCTCTCTCTCTCTCGCACTCTCTCTCTTTTCTCCCTTTCTCTCTCCCTCTCTCTTCTCTCTCTCTCTTCTCTCCCTCTCTTCTCACTTTCTATTCTCTCCCTCTCTCTATCCCTCTCTCTCTCTTCTCTCTCTCTCTTTCTCTTCTCTCCCTCTCTTCTCTCCCTCTCTCTCTCCCTCTCTCTCTCTCTATCTCTCTCTCTCTCTCCCTCTCTCTCTCTCTCTCTCTCTCTCTCTCCTACACTACTCTACTGTACTCTACCTGGTTGTGTTTCCATGGTGCTTTGGTCTCTGGTACCGTATCCTAGAAACTTTGGGAATTATATAAAGCCATACAACTGATCTGGCCTTCACAACGACTCTATTGTGTATCTGCTACGATTGTGTGTCCTGTTATGTTCTTTCAACGTCTCCAGATATAACAAATATATCTTTCGATGTGTGACGTACTGTATGTGTGAACGACCCAACAAAGTACCAAATTCTGGGTAATTTCCTTGGTAACCATGGCTTCCAGCAGCAATGAATAAGGAACTAAGTGAGTTTGGTTCCATATTCACAAGTGTGTTTCTCCAGAGAGCAATCTTTATTATTATGCTACAAGGGCAATACGATACGATACGACACGATACGATACGACACGATACGATACGATACGATACGATTACGACACGATACGACACGATATGATACGACACGATACGATACGACACGATACGACACGATACGACACGACGCGATACGATACGACACGATACGACACGACACGATACGATACGACACGATACGATACGACACGATACGACACGATATGATACGACACAACCTGGCATAATTCCATTCATCTGTTGCCGGGTTGCGGCGGCAGCAGTCGAAGCAGAGACACCCTTTCCACACGCACTTCTTCCAACTCGTCCGAGGTGACCCCAAGGCGTTCCCAGGCCAGCTGAGAGACATAGTCCTGGGCCTCCTCCCAGTGGGACGTGCCCAGAACACCTCCCTAGGGAGTCGTCCAGGAGGCATCCGGAACAGATGCCCGAGCCACCTCAACTGGTTCCTCTCGACGTGAAGGAGCAGCAGCTCTACTCCGAGCTCCTCCCGTGTGACTGAGCTCCTCACCCTATCTCTAAGGGAGCAGCCACTCTGTGGAGGAAGCTCATTTCGACCGCTTGTATCCGCGATCTCGTTCTTTTGGTCATTACCCAAAGTTCATGACCATAGGTGAGGGAGGGAACGAAGATTGACCGGTAAATCGAGAGCTTTGCCTTTCGGCTCAGCTCCCTCTTTACCACAACGGTCCGATACAGCGACCGCATCACTGCGCACGCTGCACCGATCCGCCTGTCAATCTCACGCTCCATTCTTCCCTCACTCGTGAACAAGACCCCGAGATACTTGAACTCCTCCACTTGAGGAAGGACCTCTCCACTCACCTGTAGAGGGCAAGGCACCTTTTTCTGGAGGTCCTGGTTCGTTGGAGCCAACAGGACAACATCATCATCAAACAGCAGAGATGAAATCCTGTGGTCTCAGAACCGGACCCCCTCCAATCCCAGGCTGCGCCTAGAAATTCTGTCCATAAAGACAGTGAACAGAACCGGTGACAAAGGGCAGCCTTGGGGGAGGCCCAAGGCTCCGCCTGAATCCGAGATTCGACCATCGGTCCAAGTCTCCTCTCCAGCACCTTGAGTAGACCTTACCGGGGAGGCTGAGGAGTGTGATCCCCACGATAATTGGAACACACCCTCCAGTCCCCCTTCCTGTGGAGGGGGACCACCACCCTGGTCTGCCACTCTCAATGGGCACCGCCCCTGATCGCCACGCGATGTTGCAGAGACGTGTCAGAGACAGTCGTACAACATCCAGAGACTTTAGAGTCAGGACAGATCTCATCCACTCCCGGAGGACAACACAATACAACACAATACAGTACAATACAATACAATACAGTACAATACAATACAGCGACACAGAGACGCCACATAAATCTTTATTACACAAAGCTGTACACGGTCAATACATCAGAAATAGTCAATGAAAAGTCTAAATAAAACAAATCAAAATAATCAAAGAGAGAAACAGGAGAATAAAGCAGACAGAGGCGCACAACAAGACGAAACAAAGACTGTGAGTCTGAGCCTAATTCTAAAAACTCTAAGTCCTCAGTCCAATCTCTAATATTTTCAGTCTATTGCTTGAGGTTATCACACGGCTCCAACATCGCCCCCTAGTGGCTGAACAGAGGGAGTACAGTGTGAGGACCTGCACCAGGACCTCAGAGACACAAGAACCCAGACTTTAGAACCACAACAGTATTGATTCATGTATTATTGATTTGAGCATCTGTTAAAACACATACAAGACATTCTCCCATCACAAAGGAAAAGGAGGACAACAAGTAAAGTATGACGCAGGCCAAGTGCAAACATGAAAATACCATGGAACACTTGAATAAAACATGTATCACAAAAAAACTCACTGACGCACAGAGACACACAAAGACAGAGACAAAGAGACACAGACACACAGAGACACAGAGACACAGACACACAGACACACAGACACACAGACACACAGAGACAGACAGAGACACAGACACACAGACACACACAGACACACACACAGAGACACAGACACACAGAGACACAGACACACACAGACACAGACACACAGAGACAGACAGAGACACAGACACACAGACACACAGAGACACAGACACACACAGACACACACACAGACACACAGACACACAGAGACACAGACACAGACACACAGACACACACAGACACAGACACACAGACACAGACACACACAGACACAGACACACAGACACACAGACACACAGAGACACAGAGACACACAGACACACAGACACACAGAGACACACAGACACACAGACACACAGACACACACAGACACAGACACACAGACACAGAGACACACAGACACAGACACACAGACACACAGAGACACAGAGACACACAGACACACAGACACACAGAGACACAGAGACACACAGACACAGACACACAGAGACACAGAGACACAGACACACACAGACACACAGAGACACAGAGACACACAGACACACAGACACACACAGACACAGACACAGAGACACACAGACACAGACACACACAGACACAGACACACAGAGACACACAGACACAGACACACAGACACACACAGACACAGACACACAGAGACACACAGACACAGACACACAGACACAGACACACAGACACACACACACACAGACACAGACACACACAGACACAGACACACACAGACACAGAGCTCTCTCTCACACTCTCTGGTTCCTAATAAGCTTCTTCTACAGTTCACACTGACATCCGCCTGATCACAGCTCTAGTTAATTGGACTGTGTGTGTGTGTGTGTGCGTGTGTGTCTGTGTTTGTCTGGCCTTTAGCAGACGTGTGTGACAGTTGTGCGAGTCTTTTCCTGCAGACATGCTTCAGACCTCATGTGTCCTTTGGTCCCAGAGCAGTCATTTTGACGGCTCTTTATCTCTGAAGTGTTAATACTCGTCTCGATCATGACGTTGTGACTTGTTTCGTTTATTTGTTAAATGTGCAGTCCAGGTCTAGTTCTAGGTCTAAGTCCAGGTACTGTCCAAGTTCAGCCAAGTCCAGTCCAGGACCAGGTCCTGCCCCTTGACAAATGGCTCTTTCCAACTCTGCTGTAGAATGCTGGTTGCCAAGCGACTGAAAATGTCAAGTTTTGAACTTTATCCGAATGTACAGAGCCCCCTCCACACGGAGACGACAGAGACAGACACAGAGACAGAGACAGAGACAGACACAGACACAGAGACAGAGACAGAGACAGACACAGAGACAGACACAGAGACAGACACAGACACAGAGACAGACACAGAGACAGACACAGAGACAGAGACAGAGACAGACACAGACACAGAGACAGACACAGACACAGAGACAGACACAGAGACAGACACAGAGACAGACACAGAGACAGAGACAGACACAGAGACAGACACAGAGACAGACACAGAGACAGACACAGAGACAGAGACAGAGACAGACACAGACACAGAGACAGAGACAGAGACAGACACAGACACAGAGACAGAGACAGAGACAGACACAGAGACAGACACAGAGACAGACACAGACACAGAGACAGACACAGAGACAGACACAGAGACAGACACAGAGACAGAGACAGACACAGAGACAGACACAGAGACAGACACAGAGACAGACACAGAGACAGACACAGAGACAGACAGAGACAGACACAGAGACAGACACAGAGACAGACACAGAGACAGACACAGAGACAGAGACAGACAGAGACAGACACAGAGACAGATACAGAGACAGACACAGAGACAAACAGAGACAGACACAGAGACAAACAGAGACAGACACAGAGACAGACACAGAGACAGACAGAGACAGACACAGAGACAGAGACAGAGACAGACACAGAGACAGACACAGAGACAGAGACAGACACAGAGACAGACACAGAGACAGACACAGAGACAAACACAGAGACAGACACAGAGACAGACACAGAGACAGACACAGAGACAGAGACAGACAGAGACAGACAGAGACAGACACAGAGACAGACACAGAGACAGACAGAGACAGACACAGAGACAGACACAGAGACAGAGACAGAGACAGACACAGAGACAGAGACAGACACAGAGACAGACACAGAGACAGACACAGAGACAGACAGAGACAGACACAGAGACAAACACAGAGACAGAGACAGAGCTGCACCCAGTACACAGAGCACCAGCCCCTCACTGATCCTCTGCTGGTGGTGAGTCCACAGGAGCTGAGATCTTTCAGTGGGGGATTCAGGCAAAGTGGGGTTAAGTGTCTTGCCCAAGGACACAACGACAGCAGACATCGGCCGTGAAGTCGGTCTCTAGGTAGGCTCGAACCCACAATCTTCAGGCCCAAAGGCTCAAACAACTGAGCCACTGTCGCCAACAAGAAATATGTTTGAAGCAGGAGGAGCAGGAGGCACAGGAGGAGCAGGAGGCACAGGAGGAGCAGGAGCAGGAGGAGCAGGAGGCACAGGAGGAGCAGGAGGCACAGGAGGAGCAGGAGCAGGAGGAGCAGGAGGCACAGGAGGAGCAGGAGGCACAGGAGGAGCAGGAGCAGGAGGAGCAGGAGGCACAGGAGGAGCAGGAGGTGAGAGCCCGTTGTGGAGGAGGGTGAGAGCTGCAGCAGCTGAGACTCTGATGAAAGGACTGATGAGCCGTGGCTCGGACACTGCTCTCGGGATCAGTGTGTTGTGTGCACGTGCATTTAAAGGCCGTGTTGGTGTCGCCCACGCGCTCATTCAATGTGTGTGTGTGTGTATGTTTGTGTAGGTGTGTGTTTTGTGTAGGTGTGTATGTGTGTATTTCGTGTAGGTGTGTATGTTTGTGTAGGTGTGTGTTTTGTGTAGGTGTGTATGTGTGTATGTGTGTATTTTGTGTAAGTGTGTATGTTAGTGTAGGTGTGTGTTTTGTGTAGGTGTGTGGAGACCCCCTCCTCGACGCGCGGGGCTCTGATTGGCTGATCCTCGGAGGCTGAGTCCAGTCTCAACTCTCTGCTCCTCAGAGGCTGAACGCAGCCGGAGCACACGGAGTTATGTCCCGGTCCTGCGCCACCCCACCTCCCGGTCCCAGGACTGAGACCCCGGTCCATCTCCCGGTCCTCTGGGCTGAAGCCTCCCGCGGGATTATAAACCACTGTTTCGAACCTGGACTTTAGTGCGTTGTGTTTGTGATGGATACTGTGCCGTGCTGATCCGGGCTGCCTGACCACACGTTAGAGCACGTTTGGACTTTAGTTTGGACTCGTGTTTACTCGTGTGGACCCGTGTGGACCCGTACTTACCCGTGTGGACCCGTGTGGACCCGTGTGGACTCGGGCGGACTCAGTTGGAGATGACAGACTTCACGAACCGGAGCCAGAGCAGTGCGCGCCGCAGTGACTACGTGTGGCAGTACGAGTACTACGACGACGAGGAGCCGGTGTCGTTTGAGGGACTGCGCGCGCACAGATGTACGGTTTGTCTCCGGTAGAACCGTCAGATCAAGATACCGTCACAGAGTCAGACTTTAGTTAAAGGGAGGTCAGTGGGAGTGAGGCTGGTGTGACCCTCTCTGCGAATAGTGCTACACAAATAAATATGACTGACTGACTGTGAATGTAAAGCTGGGGTACGTAATCTTTATGTGGATGAGACAGTTGTTAACGAAGAGTGAACTATGAGAGGAAACCTACGCAGACAAGGGGAGAACATGCAAACTCCACAGAAAGTGTGTGTGCATATATATGTGTGTGTGTATTTGTGTGTATATATAGATACACAAATATGTGTGTGTATGTGTGTACGTATTTGTGTGTGTGTACGGGTAAATATTTGTGTATGTGTATGTGTGTACGTATGTATGTATATGTGTGTGTACGTATGTTTGTATATGTGTGTGTACGTATGTATATGTGTGTGTACGTATGTATGTATATGTGTGTGTACGTATGTATATGTGTGTGTATTTAAGATAATTTATTGATCTCTGATGGAGAAATGTCCACGTCACATCTGACATGAACAGAATCAGATTTGTGCAAAAGACAGAAATGTGCAACATGTTAAATACAGAATATATTATGTACAATAAAAAGAAACAGTGTCAATAGTAGTGCAGGATTTTAGTCCTAGTGCAAGTGTCTTGTTGTACAGTCTGACAGCGGTGGGGATAAAGGCCCTGTGGTAGCGCTCCTTCTGACAATGAAGGAGCTCCTCAGCTCCTCCTCCGTCCTGTGCAGTGGGAGGTGTTGTTCATGATGGAGGTGACTTTGACTAGCACCTCCTGTCCCTCACCTCCTCCTCCAGAGTCCAGGGGCCACCTGTCCCTTACCTCCTCCACAGAGTCCAGGGGCCTCCTGTCCCTCACCTCCTCCTGACCAGCTTGTTCAGTCTGCTCCTGTCCCGCTCTGTGCTGCCCGGGGCCCCGCACACGGCAGCGTAGTGTATGGCAGAGGCTACCACAGAGTCATAAAAAGTCCTGAGCAGAGGCTCACTCCGAAGGACCTCAGCCTCCTCAGAAACGGTGAGAGGACAGTGCCCTGAGGGGCCCCAGTGCTGCAGACGACCACCTCAGACTCACAGCTGCAGCCGCACGTACTGTGGTCGGTCTGAGAGGTAGTTGATGGTCCATGCAGTGAGGCTACTGTCAACTCCAGCGTCCTCCATCTTCCCCTGCAGCAGTGCCGGCCTGATGGTATTGAAAGCACTGGAGAAGTCAAAAAACATGACCCTCACAGGGCTCCCGGCGGGCTCCAGGTGGGAGAGCGTATGCTGCAGGAAGTAGAAGACGGCGTCCTCTACTCCGATGTTGGGTCTGTAGGCGAACTGCAGCGGGTCCAGGGTGGGGCTGACCACGGAGCGGAGATGGGTGAGGATGAGCCGCTCCATGGTCTTCATCAGGTGGGAGGTCAGTGCGACTGGTCTGTAGTGAGCCGGTTCCCTGGCGTGCGCTGTTTTAGGAACCGGGATCACACAGGAGGTCTTCCACAGGACAGGGACCTTCTCCAGGCTGAGGCTCAGGTTGTACATGTAGCTGAGGACCCCAGAGAGCTGGTCTGCACAGGTCCTCAGCAGCCTGGGACTGATCCCGTCCGGTCCTGTGGATTTCCTCTGCTTCAGTCGCTGGAGCTGACTCCTCACCTGGTCCAGTGTGATGGAGGGAGGGGGGGGGGGGGGGGGGGGGACCGAGGTGTACTGTTAGAGGTGGGGGCCAGGGATGTGGGGACAGGAGGGCCCGGGGCAGATGGAGAGGGGGGAGAATCAAACCTGTTGAAATATTGGTTAAATTCATCCGCCCGGTGCTGGTCTCCATCCGCTGTTCCTCTGGCACTCTGTCCAAAGCCAGAGATGTTCTTTAGGCCTCTCCACACGTTGCGGGCGTTTCCCTGGGCCAGCTTCTGCTCCAGCTTTTTCCCGTATTCCTTCTTGGCCCTCCTGATCCTCCACTGGAGCTCGTACTGAATCCTCTGCTCCTCTTTGTCCCCTGAGATGAAAGCCCTTTTCTTGAGGTTCAGAAGGGCTTTAGGCTCAGGGGTCACCCATGGGTGGTTGTTGGAAACAGTGTTATCCACACAGAAGAGGATATAGTCTGTTATACAGTGTGTGTGTACATATATGTGTGTATATAGATATATACAGTATGTATGTGTGTACGTATGTGTATGTATACGCGTGTGTATATGTGTGTGTGTGTATCTATGTATGTGTGTATATGTATACAAATGTGTGTGTATATATTTAATGGTTGAATGCACTTGTTGGGAGTTGAGAAGCTGAGGCAGAGGATCAATGGTCTGGACAAAACGAGTCTAAAAATAAACTCAGAGATGTCTGATTTTCTCCTGGAGAAGGGAAAATCGTGCGACATCACAGTGCGTGTGGTGGATCTGCTGCTGCACAAGAACCAGGGAAGACATGTTAGCCGTAACTACGTAACACAGGTCTGTCCTTTTCCCAACATGTTTATGAAGCACCTTCTGTCTGTGCAACACAAACAAACTTGTAAAGCCTGGACTTGCCAACCGTTATACATCTTTAAATCACAACATGAAAGATGGAGCGTGTTTCAGATGCAGGCAAAGCTAACATGAAATATTCAAGGCTTCTTTGAAATGTGTAAATCCTCTGGGGAGCTACTTGGAAGGGGCTGGCGAGCTACTGGTAACCTAGCATTAGCTTTACTGAGGAAAACCCAAACTCCATGGGCTGGAGTCGTGAGCCAAAATGGTGGGTAGCAACATCCTAGCAACCAAAGAACCAATCAGGAGCGGCGCCGGCCTGTTCCAGCCGGTGCTAATCAGATTTTATATTTGCTTCTTTATTATGTTAAAGTTAGAGATGAAAGTTTTTCTCTAACTTTATTCTAGTACATTGTTTGGGCTCCACTAGTGTAAAGTCACATGTGTTATTATAAAACTAGGAAGAAGAGAAAACATATTTATTATTTGTTTTCACCATTTCATTCAAAACAGTTTGGTATGTTATTAGAATATCTGTTATATAATATTAATATTCTCTCTGATCTCTCTCTCTCTGACCTTTCTGGTCTCTCTCTAGTCTCTCTCTCTCTCTAGTCTCTCTGGTCTCTCTCTCTTTGTATTCTCTCTCTAGTCTCTCTGGTCTCTCTCTAGTCTCTCTCTCTCTAGTCTCTCTCTCTTTGTATTCTCTCTCTAGTCTCTCTCTCTCTGGTCTCTCTCGCTCTGTATTCTCTCTCTCTAGTCTCTCTGGTCTCTCTCTAGTCTCTCTCTCTCTAGTCTCTCTGGTGTCTCCCTCTATTCTCTCTCTATAGTCTCTTGCTGGCCTCTCTGGTCTCTCCCTCTTTCTCTTTTATCTCCATTGTCTCTCTCTCTCATCTCTCTGGTCTTGCTCTCTCTCTCTAGCCCCTCTGCTCTCTCTCTCTCTCTCTCTCTCTCTTTCTCTCTTTGAAACAGTTGGTACATGTATAATGACAGTCGGCTGGGGGCGAGCTGACCGCACGAGGCCCCTGCGTCTGCTCTGGAACATTCAAAGAAAAGTCTATTGTGTTTATTTTTAAGTCAAACTCCAGGCTCTGCTCCTGAACATGTGCTCTCTCAGCTCCATGTGACCTCTTCACAAAGGTGCTCTCTAAAACCATGAGCTGCTTCTCCTTTGAACTTATAGAAATGTGAACTACCTAGAAATGTCATTCTGTGAACAAACCAGAAACAAAACGGTCTCTTTGTCACTTTCCCGTCTGTAGAAGTTGATCTAAAGATGTGGCAGAGGCACCATAAATCACACTGATGAGGCCCCCATGGTCCAGGATAATGTTCCTGGTTTCACACTGGTACTCCCCCAGATGCATCTATGGTCGGTCTCCTTCATTTCTCCACCTGATCCAACTCTAGTCTCTCTCTAGTCTCTCTCTGGTCTCTCTCTGGTCTCTCTCTGGTCTCTCTCTGGTCTCTCTCTGGTCTCTCTCTGGTCTCTCTCTGGTCTCTCTCGGGTCTCTCTCTGGTCTCTCTCGGGTCTCTCTCTGGTCTCTCTCGCGTCTCTCTCAGGTCTCTCTCTGGTCTCTCTCTGGTCTCTCTCTGGTCTCTCTCGGGTCTCTCTCTGGTCTCTCTCGGGTCTCTCTCTGGTCTCTCTCTGGTCTCTCTCAGGTCTCTCTCTGGTCTCTCTCTGGTCTCTCTCTTTAGTCTCTCTCTTTGGTATCTCTTTGGTCTCTCTCGGGTCTCTCTCTGGCCTCTCTCTGGTCTCTCTCTGGTCTCTCTTGGGTCTCTCTCTGGTCTCTCTCTGGTCTCTCTTTGGTCTCTCTCTGGTCTCTCTAGTCTCTCTCTCTTTGGTCTCTTTCTGGTCTTTCTATCTGGTCTCTCTCTCTGTTCTCACTGTGCTCTCTGTCCGCTCTCTCGTTGTTCTCTTTCTGCTCTCTCCCTCTGTTCTCATTGTTCTCTCTCTGGTCTCTCTCTCACTTCTCTCTCTCTGCCCTCTCTATATAGTCTCTCTCTCTTCTCTTCCTCTCTCTCCTTGTCCTCTCTGGTCTCTCTCTCTCTCTCTCTCTCTCTCTCAGAACATTCCTCTTCTTGTCTTTCCGGTCTGGATCTGACCTGTGGGGTTGATGAACTCACAGTCAGTCCTGATCACAGCCTCTGGATAAATAACAGAGAAAGATGATTATCCAAGAACACGCCTCTCTTCCCACGAACCCGGACCCTGATGCTGGATGTGTCAGTCGTCCTTGAGCCTCTCTCTGTGTGAGTTACTGGCGCTGGATGTGACCCTGGTGTGGGACAGAGATGATGTGAGGATCCTCGGCTGCTACGGCTCAAAAGACCTGATGAAAGAAACTCAACGCCTTGATACTGTCCACAATGAAAACTTAATTATAAACCAACGGATCAAAGAAAAGCTCAGAGAAAAGTATTGTGTATGAAGCGGATAATGTTGAAGAAGAGGCTCTTCCCCGTTGCGCATAAAAACAGCCACGAACATTCAGGCTCTCTCTGGTCTCTCTTTGGTCTCTCTCTGGTCTCTCTTTGGTCTCTCTCTGGTCTCTCTCAGGTCTCTCTCTGGTCTCTCTCAGGTCTCTTTCTCTGGTCTCTTTGGTCTCTCTCTGGTCTCTCTTTGGTCTCTCTCTGGTCTCTCTTTGGTCTCTCTCTGGTCTCTCTCTAGTCTCTCTCTGGTCTCTCTCTGGTCTCTTTCTCTGGCCTCTCTCTCTGGTCTCTCTCTGGTCTGTCTTTGGTCTCTCTCTGGTCTCTCTCAGGTCTCTCTCTGGTCTCTCTCTAGTCTCTCTCTGGTCTCTCTCTAGTCTCTTTCTCTGGCCTCTCTCTCTGGTCTCTCTCTGATGTCTCTGGTCTCTCTCTGGTCTCTCTGGTCTCTCTCTGGTCTCTCTTTGGTCTCTCTCTGGTCTCTCTCAGGTCTCTCTCTGGTCTCTCTCTAGTCTCTCTCTGGTCTCTATCTGGTCTCTTTCTCTGGCCCCTCTCTCTGGTCTCTCTCTGGTCTGTCTTTGGTCTCTCTCTCTGGTCTCTCTCTAGTCTCTCTCTGGTCTCTCTCTGGTCTCTTTCTCTGGCCTCTCTCTCTGGTCTCTCTCTGATGTCTCTGGTCTCTCTCTGGTCTCTCTGGTCTCTCTCTGGTCTCTCTCTGGTCTCTCTGGTCTCTCTCTGGTCTCTCTCTGGTCTCTCTCTGGTCTCTCTCTGGTCTCTCTGGTCTCTTCATGTTGGGTCACAGATACAGCCTCAGACCCACGTCGCTCTAAAAGCTCTGGGTCGTGTTGTTTCTCTGCAGTAAATACACGTTGGTACAAATGTCGTTCACTTTACATAATGTGTCCTTGAAGGTGGAAGAAAATGTTGAATAAATTACTTTAAAAATCAAGCTACACCAGAAGTGTTTCTCATTTGACTCTGTTTGAACACAAAGGAATGAGTCTCAAAAGACGAGAGTAAATACGGATTTTATTCTACAGAGAAATGTCAGTGTTAAACAACAGTACAGTTCTCGCTCTGGTCTCTCTCCATGGTCTCTCTCTGGTCTCTCTCCTTGGACTCTCTCTCAGCTCTGTATCTGGTTTCTCTCGGACTCTCTGGTCTTTCTCCGGTCTCTCTCTGATTTCTCCTTGGTCTCTCTGGTCTCTCTGGTCTCTCTCTTGTCTCTTTCTGGTCTCTCTTCCTGGTCTCCCTCCAGTCTCTCTCTGGTCTCCTTGCAGTCTCTCTTCCTGGTCTCCCTCTAGTCTCTCTCTGGTCTCCCTCCAGTCTCTCTCTGGTGTCTCACTCTCTGCTCTCTCTGGTCTCCCTCTGGTCTCCCTCTGGTCTATCTCTGGTCTATCTCTGGTCTCTCACTCTAGTCCCTCTCAAATTAAATCCTGATGTCTCTGGTTGTAACCATGTGTGTGTTGTGTGCAGACTCCATCGTGATCGGCTTCTGGGTGGGTCTCGCCGTCTTTGTCATCTTCATGTTCTTTGTCCTGACTCTGCTCACCAAGACGGGAGCTCCACACCAGGAGTAAGACCTTCTCCTCTTCTTTCTCTCTCTGGCCTCCTTCTGGTCTTTCTCCTGTCTCTCTAGTCTCTCTCTGGTTACCAAGATGGTACCAGAGAGAGACTGGAGTAAGACTTCCTCCTCCTGCTCCTCCTTCTCTCTCTCTGGTCTTTGTTGTCCATCTCTCTGGTCTCCCTCTGGTCTCCCTCTGGTCTCTCTCTGGTCTCTCTCTCTGGTCTCTCTCTGTTCTCCCTCTGGTCTCTCTCTGGTCGCTCTCTCTGGTCTTCCTCTGGTCTCTCTCTGGTCTCTCTCTCTGGTCTTCCTCTGGTCTCTCTCTGGTCTCTCTCTGGTCTCTCTCTCTGGTCTTCCTCTGGTCTCTCTCTCTGGTCTTCCTCCGGTCTCTCTCTGGTCTCTCTCTGGTCTCTCTCTCTGGTCTTCCTCCGGTCTCTCTCTGGTCTCTCTCTGCTCTCTTTCTGGTCTCTCTCTGGTCTTCCTCTGGTCTCTCTCTGGTCTCTCTCTCTGGTCTTTCTCTGGTCTCTCTCTGGCCTCTCTTTCTGGTCTCTTTCTGGTCTCTCTCTGGTCTCTTTTTGGTCTCTCTCTGGTCTCTCTCTGGTCTCTCTCTGGTCTTCCTCTGGTCTCTCACACCTACACTAGTATTGATCTATTTTCGGTCCTTTTTTTATTTATTCCAAATCTCTCATATCAAGAACATATCACTTTTAATTAAATGCATCTGGTAAGTTGTTCAAACACTGTGTGAACCATGTGAACCATGTGAACCATGTGGGAACCCTTTGTGAGCCTGGGGCCCTGTGGTTTTGGCCTCTGGTTGACCCTCATTATCTGTGGTTCCAGTCTGTGACAGAGAAAGAGAATACAAATGAATCTCTGCTGCTGGGCTCTCGTTGGAATCTGGTTTAGGATCAGAGATGAAGCACAGCTCCTGGAGCGTTTTAGAGAGAATCTACAAGAAGTCCCAAGTGCCCCAGTCTAATACTGGTCCTCTCCTAGACCAGAGAGAGAGCAGCGAGACCCCAGAAAGAGACCAGAGAGAGACCAGAGAGACACAAGAGAGAGAGAGAGAGCAAAGAGGGACCAGAGTGAAACCAGAGTGAAACCAGAGAAAGACCAGAGAGAGAGACCAGAGAGAGACCAAAAGGCAAGACCAGAGAGAAACCAGAGAGAGACCAGAGTGAAACCAGAGTGAAACCAGAGAAAGACCAGAGAGAGAGACCAGAGAGAGACCAAAAGGCAAGACCAGAGAGAGACCAGAAAGAGAGCAGAGAGAGACCAGAGAGAGACCAGAGTGTTCCTCTTTAGTTATCCCACATTGTGTCTCTGAGCCTTCGCTTCATAAAACTCCCATTATTCCTAACTACATTACGTAAGCTAACAATCAGAAGGAGGAGATTGCAGCTGGTTTCAGATCCCTGCTGGTTTCAGAAGGCGTCGCTGCTGCTTCTCAGATTGTCGTTGATGGTCCGGCACTTGGAGTAATCTCACAGCACTCAGAACCATCAGAGTAAAACGCTGTTGAATTACAGCTCAGTGCTTCTCTGTATGATCTGAGAGACGCAGGAGTCGGAGGGAAACAGCTTTGTACTTTTTATAGTCTCAGTCCTGGATCTACAGCCTCAGTCTTCGGTCTACAGCCTCAGTCCTGGGTCTACAGCCTCAGTCCTGGATCTACAGCCTCAGTCCTGGGTCTACAGCCTCAGTCCTGGGTCTACATCCTCAGTCCTGGGTCTACATCCTCAGTCCTCGGTCTACAGCCTCAGTCCTGGGTCTACAGCCTCAGTCCTGGGTCTACAGCCTCAGTCCTGGGTCTACAGCCTCAGTCCTGGGTCTACAGCCTCAGTCCTGGATCTACAGCCTCAGTCCTGGATCTACAGCCTCAGACAGAGCTGGAGGACATCCTGCAGACAACAGCACTGTGCTCTGTGACTTACAGATTATAAAGGACACATGTATGAAGCAGAAGCAGTCGCACACACACACACACACACACACACACACACACACACACACACACACGCACACGCACACACACGCACACGCACAAACGGTCTCTCTCCTCTACATGTTCTAACGGTCTCTCTCGTCTACAGTTCCTCGGACCCTGAGAGCTGTCATCGTGTTGGGAACAGTCTAAACGGTCTCCACGGCGACAACGACTCGGACAAAGCCTTCTCGCGTCCTCTGCTCCACGACTCCCGCTCCTACTTTCACTTCTACATCAGCCAGAACCCCAGGCCCCGGCAGGATACACTCCAGGTCCCCGCGGCGCCGCTGAAGCCCTCAGAACCCTGGGAACCGGACCTGAGTCTGGGACCAGGAGGAGACGGCGTGAGGGCAGACCCGGACTTCACCATCCCCAACTTTGTGAACCTGGAGCAGGCCTCAGCGCTGGGGGAGGAGCTGGGCGAGGGGCTGGGGGAGGTGGAGCTGGGGGAGGAGGACCTGGTGTTTGAGCCGTCTGAGACTCTGGAGAGACAGGCCCAGGCGCTGCACTGCGGCACCAGCTGGAGCAAAACTTCACCATGAGCACTTCCCTGTTGGGGTTCTTTGAGCTCGCGGATTAGCATTGTCCATCTGTCCAACAGGCTACAGCTCGAAGAAAAAGGCTTCTGCTTTCACTTCTACATTATTCAGGACTATGGGATAGGAGGAGAGAGACCAGAGAGAGAAACCAGAGAGCGAGAGACCAGAGAGAGAGAGACCAGAGAGAGAGACCAAGAAGAGAGAGACAAAAGAGAGAGAGACCAACCAGGGAGAGAGACCAGAGAGATAGAGACCAGACAGACACCAGAGAGAGAGAGAGAGAGAGAGAGACCAGAGACTAGCCAGCAGACACATGGTACCGTGATGGAGGACGACCTGTGTCTGTGACTGTCTGTTGTTCTGTAACTGTGTTGTATGTTTTCAAATAAACAACTTGTTTGAGTGATCCTCAGGACCTGATGAACAAACACACCCACACACACATACCATCAAAACAACCTGGGTCAGAAGGTTCTAGATTTGGCTTCAGGAGCTGGAGTAATAACAGAACTCATATACTTTATATACACACATACACATACACACACACACACACACCCTCTGCTCTTTGAGGACTGGAGCCCTTAGGGACGGCAGCAGGAGGAGCACCTGACTTATGCTTCAGAGATGATCCTCCTCTGCCTCAGGCTGTCCAAACTCATGTGTTTGGACTATAAATGACCAGAGACCAGAGAGAGACCAGAGATACGAGTGAGAGACAAAATAATCTCTGGTCTCCCTCTGGTCTCCCTCTGGTCTCCCTCTGGTCTCCCTCTGGTCTCTCTCTGGTCTCTCTCCAGTCTCCCTCTGGTCTCTCTCTCTGGTCTCTCTCTCTCTGGTCTCTCTCTGGTCTCTCTCTGGTCCCTCTCTGGTCTCTCTCTGGTCTCTCTCTGGTCTCTCTCTGGTCTCTCTCTCTCTGGTCCCTCTCTGGTCTCTCTCTGGTCCCTCTCTGGTCTCTCTCTGGTCTCTCTCTGGTCTTTCTCTGGTCTCTCTCTGGTCCCTCTCTGGTCCCTCTCTGGTTCCTCTCTGGTCTCTCGTCTCCCTCTGGTCTCTCTCTGGTCTCTCTCTGGTCTCCCTCTGGTCTCTCTCTGGTCTCTCTCTCTGGTCTCTCTCTGGTCTCTCTCTCTCTGGTCTCTCTCTGGTCTCTCTCTCTGGTCTCTCTCTGGTCTCTCTCTCTCTGGTCCCTCTCTGGTCTCTTTCTGGTCCCTCTCTGGTCTTTCTCTGGTCTCTCTCTCTGGTCTCTCTCTGGTCTCTCTCTCTCTGGTCCCTCTCTGGTCTCTTTCTGGTCCCTCTCTGGTCTCTCTCTGGTCTCTCTCTGGTCTCTCTTAGTGTAAAGCAGCAGAGGCTGATCTTGACCTCGTCCTGATCTTTCCTACTGTCTGATGTGAGTTGTGTGTTTTTGTGCGAGTAGATAATGTTGTTTCGAGGTCACACACTCTGAGAAATTCTTCCTCTCACTTTATAGACCTGTTTTGAGAGATTTGGCCTTGGTGGATTTTGCTACGATTGTATTTTGCTGCTGAGAGAGTGAGACCGAGCTGCCCCCGGCCTCGATCTTCAAACACAGAGACTGAAAAACTGAAGTCTGCATTTCATATGAACAGGATTTTAAAACAAAATAAACAGGAAGGAGACTCAGAATTGTTGGAGAAGTGAGACCAGAGGGAGAGAGACCAGAGGGAGAGAGACCAGAGGGAGAGAGACCAGAGGGAGAGGTGAGAGAAGAGAGACCAGAGCGAGGGGAGAGAAAAGAGGGGAGAGGGGGAGCGTGGAGGAGCAGAGGCATAATCTCGCAGCTGTCAGGGGTGTGTGTGTGTGTGTGTGTGTTATTGAGTGCTTCACACAGTCACAGTTCCACATCTCTTGCACAGGCTCCAGCTGCTTCTGTAAAAGCCGGATTCAGAAACAAAAGAAAAAAGAGAAACTTCCTGTTCATCTGCTGCTGCCTCTGGTCGTGGATCCATCACTGCAGAAAGAGAGAAGGAACAAGAGAGTGAAATAGAGCATGAACAGAGAGAGAGAGAGAGAGAGAGAGAGAGAGAGCAGGGAGAGAGAGAGTGTGTGAGTGTGAGTGAGAGAGACACCAGAGGGAGACCAGAAAGAGAGGACAGAGAGAGAGAGACAAGAGAGACAGACCAGAGAGAAAGAGAGAGAGAGAGAGATACAGACACACACAGACACTCACACACACACACACAAGAGGGAGACCAGAAAGCAAGAGCAGAGACAGAGACCAGAAAGAGACCTGAGAGAGAGACCAGAGATAGAGAGCAGAGGGGGTGAGCAGAGAGAGAGAGTAGAAAGAGGCAGAGAGAGAGAGAGGGAGATAGAGCCAGGGGAGAGAATTTAGAGCAATGGCAGAGACTGGTGGCCTCGCTTCTGTTAGGATTTAGCAGACAGAGACGGATCGTGGTGTGCCAAACTCTGGAAGTTTATTTAAGTTTCTCTCAAGTTCCACTAGTTTACTCTGTTTCTTTCCCTCAGACAGAATAAAGGCAATACACAGTTTATATAGTCATTGTCACGTCACACATCGAAAGACATACGTGTCACAAAGAGACAGTCACATCATAGTCATAACATGGAGTCCTTGTAGAGTCCTTGTACAGTCCTGCACGTAGGCCATATTGCTATCTAATACTAATACTCTCCCCTTTGATCACATAATCACATGTGATCACTCAATTTGATCAATCAATAAAGTGGAAAAAGAAGAAAAAATAAATAAAAAATTCCTAAAAAAAACTTTAAAAAATTATTAAAAACAAAGAAAATGTATGCATTAAACTCATAATCATCAAATCATTATCAGTGGATTTTATCCTCTATCCTGGAAAAAAAATAAACAAACAAAAACAAACAAATCAAAAATAAAGTAAATAAATAAACAAAAAACAACAAAAACAAATCAAAAATAAAAACAAACAAAAATAAAAACAAACAAAAATAAAAAACAAACAAAAACTATTGGACACAGTAGAACTCAGCAGATTCAGTCAAAACACAGACAAAAACGAGCTGAGTCTCAAATTAGAAGCTAATTTAACTTTTCTTACTCTATACTTTTATTCTAATGATAATTGTTTACACTACACTTCACTTATTTCACTGTATTATTTTCACTTTTCAATCTTAGACTGTGTACTTTACTTTCATTATCACTATAGTTTAAAACTATTCTAATCTATTCACATAAATCTCTCTGTTCTGTGGTTTTACACTCTAATTATCAGTGGCTTATTATCAGTTGGATTTTGCTCCATGTCTATTCTCATTCTCAGGAATAAAACTGTGAACACAGTAAGGCAAATGGTCAACATTTACACTTCTATAGTGGTCAGTGATTTATTACTTTTTATTATCTAAAGATATTATTGTCAGGCAGTTTGGGATGAATGTACATCATTAATCAAATTAGTATTATACAAGAGCTAATCTATTTGAGCATGTTTGGGGTTGGGGTCAGTTATTCTACAATGGTGTTTGTGCTGGAAACTTCTCAATATCTAAATATCTACTATTGTGTTTTTGTGCTATACCCAAATACATCAAAATGCTTTTAAATGCTTTTGAATCTCTGTTGGTTGTAATCTATCTCATTGATCTAGGCATTAATCTAGGCTACACTCATATGAACTTTTGTATTGTCAACATTCACTCATGTTTGAACACAAGTGAATTTGGAAGGTATCTAATAAAACTGTACATAAACTGTAATTAACTTTATCTACTTTTGAAGTAAATGCTTGTGAAATGGTCCCTTTACCATTTGATATTAGCACTGGCTAAGAATATTCTCTATTTTTGAAAGCATCTATGGTTGATGCATTTATCTACTCCTATTTTTACACTATTGTGACTCCAAAGTTTGGCTGCAGTTTGAGCAAAGGCATATTTCTAATTTGTGACTTCTGTCACTTTTAATATCTCTAAAATACTCTGATTCTAATATTCTAGCTGATCTATCAAAAGGATAACATTGTAGGGTACTATTTTAACTCTTACGTGGAAATATGTTTATGAAAAACAAAGGAAGTCAAATTCTACTCTTTTACTACTATTTAACATCTATTAAAACGCTACAATACTTATACTTTATCATTTTCAAAGTTTTTAACAGTTGCTCAGTCTACCAGACTAAAAAAGTCAAAGTTTTTGTCTGTCAGATGTCTGAATACTTAACATGTATATTGCATTTGGTCACAGTTTCTGGTTCTGGTTGTAGCAAAAGCATCAGCAATAGACGTTTTCATTGGCTGGTTCTTGTTCTGCAAATGGCTGTGTCCAATAGATCATCAGATGTCCAGAAGCTAGGGACAAACAAAAACAAAAGAAAGAATCATGAGTATCTGTCTCATTTAGCACTCATCAATGGCATTATTTCAATAATATAAACATCACTCCCCAGTTTTCTCTCTCTCAGATCCTCAGGTCCTCAGATCCTCAGGGTCCCCTGAGGGTGAGTCTCAGTCGTCATCAGGTCAGGTCATATTTCGAGAGATGTTATCTTGGACATCAGTAGGGTCCAAGCCATGGTTCTGGTCACTCCAGATGCACATCAGATCTCCAGATACAGTCTTTTCACTTGAAGCACATCAGGTCATTTGCGATGCACTTCTGGTCAATGGTGCAGTCTCACAGTTCCTGTACACAGCTTGTTATGCAATAGTTACTCTCTATGGTTAAGTCACTTTGATTCTACTTTAACACAATTTCTATTCATGCTGTTGCTAATGTCTCTCAGACAAAAGCAAGCGCAGTTTACTTCTCTAATTTGTGTTTTTATCAGATCTAATTCTAATCAATGTAATTACTTCACACAGTACAAAATCAAAACATCAAAAGTGTCAGGACAGAGGTCAATTAAGTCCATGACAATATAGAATTCAAATGAACATTTCTGGTCTCAAAAAATACTGATTCAAGTGATAGACAATTAAAAATATGTGTTTACATTGGAGTAAACTTTTAAAATGCTTTTTTCCTCATGTTCTGCTTTTTCA